TTTGGCAAACACTGGCTGTCGTGTCTCATCCTGCTGATTAAATTCCATATTTGCATTTCCTTGGATATACAAAGAAAAAGCAAATCAGCAATGAGCAGCACAGTTAGAGAAGGAATAACCAAGCAGGGAGAGAGGAATAACTGCTGGTCTGGAGATGACAAAACGCAGAGCCAGCCACGCAGCCGGGCCCTGTGCAGCAGAGCATCCTCATCCCCCAGAGCATCCTGCATCCCACACTGTCCCACATCCCACACAGCATCCCAAGCTGCCTGGGGATGCCAAGGCCACTTGGGTGCTGCAGGAGGAGCAGGGAGCCCTGGACTCATTCCCTTCCAGCTCTCCTGGGGATGCACTGATGGACACAAACACTCCAGCTCAGCACAGCTCAGATGTTGTGAGTTTTGTCTTTTTTTTTTTTGGTCCTTTTCCTTTATTACATCTAAAGGTTTGGTATTTTAACACTTGGCCTAATATTAACTAGGGAAATCCAGCAGATGTACTGCATCTTATTAAAGATATGAGCAATCTCCAGTGCTCTGGTATTAATGGGGGGAGATTGACTGAAAATGTTTTGCTTCAATGGCTCTTAAGGAATTCACAGTTCATTTCCAGTCATTAAAATAATTAGTGCCGTGCTCTGACTCCTCTGAGGGCAGAGCTCTAGGGCCAGCTACCCTGGGTGTGAGGGAGGGGGGGAGCTCCCAGCTGGGATGCTCCCACCCTGGGATGGAGGTGATGCCAAACCCTTGCAGAGGGTTGGTAAGAGCCAGGGAAAGCAGGGCTTAAACAGGACTTAAATGGCTTTGAGGAGCCCTTCAAAGAAAACATGAATAACCCAGCCATTTGTTTTAATGAGGCTGCTCCTGTAATAAAGATAGCTCCATAAATAAGTGATTACAGGATTGAGCCCAAAGCAATCGCTGAGGATTAGATGTAACTCATGGCATCAAGCAAAGTCCTCAGTTTTACTGGAGGCAAGGGAAAACCAGTCTGTTCTTTGCTGGATCCCATTATGTACCACCTTCATTCCAGGAAGAGGTCTTGGAAGCTGGGAGTTTAGGTGATACCAGGATGTCAGGCAGAAGGAGCTCTATAATTGCACCTCTCTTTCTATGCTATTTCTGCTGCTAGTGCTTAATCTAAAACTCTGTATTTTTTGGGGGGAAAGCAAAGAGATGTTCTTGTAATACTGGTGAAGGTATTTCTGTAAATATGGCTTGGAATGGATAAAATTTGGCTCGGGGGAATTGCTGAGGGTGAACAAAGCTTTTCTCTGCATCAGCAGTTTGGACTGAGGTGAGGTTTATAGGGGTGGAAGGGCTGGATAGATTGGAATGGGATATTGGAGACAAAATTGTAGAACCACAGTGCAAAGGGGCCTCAGGAGCACCCAGGGGGGCTGGAAACCTCTTGGCTGCTTGGTTTGAACCCAAACCAAACGGGGTTCAAGGTGAAAAGCTCTGCAGTTGCTCCATGACAAAGCAGGATCTCAGGGGCCAGGATCTAGAGAGGACAAGGGGCTTTAAGTGGAAAGAGGGTGGATTTGGATTGGGGATGAGGAAGGAATCCTTCCCTGGGAGGGTGGGCAGGCCCTGGCACAGGGTGCCCAGAGGCTGCCCCATCCCTGGCAGTGTCCAAGGCCAGGTTGGACGGGGCTTGGAGCAACCTGGGCTGGTGGAAGGTGTCCCTGACAGTGGGTTGGGAGCAGATGATCCACTCACTTTGAAGGGATCAGAGGAGTTCAGATGTTTGGGTAAGTATTCTTTCACTAGTCCCTTATTTAAGTTTGATCAGTACCACCCATTGGAGTTTTAGAAAACCTGACAGTGAGTGTGTCAGTGATGGGAAAATAGGCAGCAATAAAAAAGGCTGTTGAGACACTTCTACAATGATGAGGGAATTTTCAGAACAGCTGTAGTTGAGTAATTATGAACAGAACCCTTGTTTCCACTGAATAAATTTCTATTAGATTATTCCCTAATTATAAAGATTATTTAAGAGACAAATGCTATGGAATAATATACAGCAGAAGATGTATCTATTTCCCAAGTCCCTGAAACCATCCTTAAATCTTGGGAGTTATAACTCACCTTTTCCAGAGCTCTCATCAGCTGCTGTGTAAGCCCCAGAGCTGACACTTCAGATAAGTACATGATATAGTTCAGCCCTAAAACTCTTAACTGAAAATACATCAGGACTTACTGTAAAATTTCATGGAGGATTAGAGAAAAATATTAAGTCAATAGTTCTTTAGTTATTAGGAGCTTTTAAGGTAATCAATACTTTCCAGCCATGTTAGTGCCTACGATGATAAAAGATGACATTAATATCCAACCCTTCTTTTTTTTTGGGTATATTTATGTATATCCTTTCTTTAGTCACTCCTGCTGAAATCAATACTGATACAAAGAATATGGTTATTTTAAAAATGTCATCAATATTGATTTGCCTATAACTGCTGGTTTCAAGTGGAACTTGATTTCATGGAAAAAAACTTACTTCTTCATACAAAAGCACTACCAGCCACCCTAAATCTTGGGAGCACCCCTGCCTTTGCTTATAGTGATTTTCACATTAGCAGTGTGCTAAGGCAGCAAAAACTGTTTTAGGATTAATAAATCCTAAAAATAGGATTAATAGGATTAATTCAAAGAATTCTTTAGAGTTACATGACGTTTTGTGTCCTCAAAGCATTGCACAGATGTTAATTGAATTTAATTGATATCATTCAGTCCCAAATTTATGTGCATGCAGTTATTAATGATTTAATTATTTTGTCAGTGGAATAAATTCTTTGCCTTTGAATCTGCTTCAGCAAATAGAGTTGTCCTATGTAGGGTCCTTTGGCTGAATCCTTTTTATTCAGGTGACTGGGGAACAGAGTTGCTTAAATGACAGCATTTCCCATCCTCTGGAGCAGCACTGCTCTGGAATGTGCTTCCTTTTGTCTCTCACTAGTAATCCCCTGGGTTTCTTCTGTGTGTCTCAGGTAGGGGTTTGCTCTGAAAACCTGGTGATATCTCAGTGCTCATGTGCAGTTTCCTGGTTGGAAGGTCACTTTTCCCAGCTTGGAGGAAAGGGCAGATTTGTTTGCACGTGGTGTTTGCTCAGCAAGTGCCAGTGGATGGAGAGGGGATACATTTAAATGATCATGGAATGTAGAACTGCATCATTTTGGCTAAATTTAAATAACATTGGACTACCATTTCCATCTTCTTTCCAATCCACTTGTCCATTCTGATGGAGCTTGGAACTCAGACTCTTACAGCAGTTGCCAGCTGGAATTTCCCCTGGAAAGCAGCTCCCAGATGCCTTGAGATCAGCAAAGCTGTTTCAGTTTGTCCCTTTCTGACCCGTTCTAAGAAGATGGAAGGAGCTCCCTCAGGTTTGGAAATGAAAGGAGCTTGTCCTTAAAAATACCCCCGAATCCACTGCTTTTAGAAGCTTTACTGAGATATGTTGCAAAACTACTCCCAAAAATAAAACAGATGGAAAGAGCCAGAGAGGGGATGCACTGGGAAACCAGTGATATTTAAGCTAAAACCAGTTACCCCCGTGGGTCTTGGGGATAAATCAACAGCAGAGCACTGCGAGTGTTTCTGACAGGGAAACCTGGGAATTATCAGCAGCTTCCTGGCCCTGCGTTCCTGGCTGCCAGGGTTAAAATCCCACTGTGTCACCAGGGTACTTCTGCCCAAAGTGCCTTTTCCTTCTGAACTGCCAGCATCTGAGGCAGAGCGGGGCAGGCGTCTCCGGTGCAATATCGATTCTCGCTCCTCTCGCTGCCGGGGCTGAGCACAATGAGATGCTCTCAGGGGACACAAGGCTCCTTTTCTCTAACCCAGCCTTCCTCAGATCCCCATAAAGAAGGAATTAAAAGGGAATTATTCCATTTTGCCTTTGATGGCTGGGTCTTCTTCCAGTTGAGTGTCAGAGCCTAATGATGGAGGCAGTGAACACACGTCTGGTCAGGCCTCTTTTTACTTCAATCCCTGCTTATCTGGGGGAAGAACAAAACATAAAGAAACCACAGAAAACACAGCATTGAGCTGCCCTCCCTCAATACATCATTTGTAAAGCTTTTGCTCCAGCTTTCCAAAAGGCCATTTAGCTTAATAGCCTCTCCCATTTTTCATTTCCTTGTGTTACAGGTGCTAGGGGGATGATTTTTAAAAGAACAATGGAATGACATTTTACCTGACTTTGGAAATTAATTCCCAGCAGTCTCACGCCTTTTGTGCCTTAGATTTGCCTTCCATAACATGGAATGGGTGGGAAGATTCTTTAACAAAACAATAGGATATTTAAAATGGGAGAAGACATCCAATTTTCCATCCAAAAGCCATTAGTAAATTGTTTGTATGTCCACATTAGTAATATAAGATTAATGGACTAATTGAATTTTCAGAAATTTAGGCAAAGACAAAATGAATTGGCCTCCACTGTAGTGGAACTAAATGCCAAAAAAATTACATGTACAAAATACATTATTTAAAAAACACCCTGAAGAGAACATGCTGAGCTGTATCTGTTATATTTAAACTCTACAATATTTGATTTAATATGAAATTTAATCAAAAAGGGGGGAAAAATATTATTTTGAGTTTATAAATCTATATCTCCATTTGGTTGTTCCTGTTCTTATTTGCCATTGACTATGACAGGTCATTAAATGAAGGTCAGTTCCTTGTGGAACAGTTTGTTGGCTTCTTCAGAGTCTTAAAACTTGTGAAGCGTGAAATCAGTGACAAATTTGGAGTCAGTGTTGGTGTTGTAAAATGTGGAGCTTCCAGTGATTCAGAACATTGGAGGAAATCAACTGCTTGGTGAATGGCCCACAAAATATGATCTATTGCTGAAAATCTGCTTAAACACTCGGGCATTGGAGGAAATTAATCCTAGGTGGGACTTCTGTGCTAGAACTTCTACTTTGATGAATTTGTCATGCTTGGAAGACAGTGATATTCAACTAATAGCATTAATAACCTCACTATTTACAGGTAATTACCCCTAGGAAGGAGCTGTGATGGTTTGAAAACATCTGTTTCTTTTTGGAATCCGTGTACATCTGCCCTTAAACAAGGTGAAAACTGGGTGTGATAACTCTGAGGAGTGAATTTCTGCACTGCTATATTCTCTGCAATTAGATAACACCTTAAAATGTGATCACTGTGTTATTTTTACCTCTCAGAACACACAGACACAACAAAACTCTCTGCTGAGAGCTGATTTGATGCCAGCTAAATATCCAGGTGGTACTCTGAAGGTGCAGGTAATCAAATTCCTGGAGCATCTTGTGCAGAAGTGAGTGAGAATTTCCATGTTTCTGAACTTCTATTTCCCTCCCACTCCCAGTGGGGCTCTTCACTGTTGCTTTATCCCCAGTCCTTTAAGCTGTTGCTCAGTTCAGTGTTTCACTGGGAGGTTCTCTCAGGTAGAGGAATCCCCTTAACGTGCTGGTGATGCTGGTAAAGAGAAAATTCTGCTCTGTGAGTGGTTTTGTACGTGAGAGAGGTTGTCTGACAGAGCTTTCCACACAGCTGGAAGCAAGAGGCCTTTTACTCCTTCCAGCAGAGACCAAACTGGCTGCTGGATGGATTTTAAACACTGGAGGATCTGAACAGCTCCGAGGCTGGAATGACCCTCCCGAAAGGACTTGGCTGTTCCAAGGGGATGCAGGCTCTGGGAAATGCCTCCAGAACAGGACTGGGATGCTCAGTGAAGTGTTTGGCTGAAATGTGTGACATCAAGGCCAGGTTGGAAGGGGCTTGGAGCAGCCTGGGCTAGTGGAAGGTGTCCCTGCCCACGGCAGGGAGTGGGATGGGATGATTATTAAGGTTCCTTCCAACTCAAACCATTCTGTGATTCTGTGGAAATGAGGACTCCAAAAGCACAAGAGCGTTGCCTGTTCCTCTGCTCCCCCTTGCAGAAACCCAGAGTTTGGCATTTATGTCCACTGTGAGCAGTTTATGTCCATGACATTGTAACACATATTTTTGTCATCATCTTTGCAGTGATGCAGTGATGCAACACTCAGTGCCACCACTGAAGAAGTTGGGGAATGAGATTTCAGCCCAAGAAATGGAGAAAGCCAAAGTAAGCAGCCTGCAAAGAGAGTGTGCTCAGTTTCTACTAAGGTGAGACCAAAAATAACAAACCAAAAAGGTCTTGATTTCCAAGCCTTTGCTGTGTCTCCTTCCCTCTTTCTCAATGTTTAACCCTGACTCAGTGATGTTTTCACTGCCGTCATCTGCTGAAGTTACTGGCCTTCTTCCCCTAGACAAACTTCCAAGATAAATTCCCCAGGATTAAGGACAATGTTGTTGTAAATGTTGCCATATTAACTTCCCTGAACCTCCCTGAGCACAAAGTGATTTCCCTGCATGGCTAATGGAGGCAGCACGCTCTAAATACACCCTGAAAGAGAACCAGCACTTTTAACTCACACTAAGTACTCTGTATTTTTAACTGAAGTGAGATTTATGAACAAACTACCTCTATCTAAATGTATATAAAGCCATTTACATTATTTTGCATAATATATGGGAACAATTTGTCTCTGCTAGTTAATATATACATGTATAGAAGTGACAGTGCTCCCACTGTGAGTAGGGATTGCTGAAGTGAGCTGCACACAAACTCCTGTTCAGACAGCATTAGTTGGATCTCTTTGGGCAATAATGTCCAGAACTATTTAGACAATGAACTATATATACCTGGAACTTGCTGACAGGTCCAGCAGGAACAATGGAGAAAGGAAAAGAGAGGTTACAGGTGGTAAGACTCAGTGGAGTCTTAGATCACTGCCGTGGTCTAATTGACAAGGTGGTTGGTGCTCAGTCAAGGGTTGGACTCGGTGATCTCAGAGGTCTTTTCCACCCCCAGTGATTCTGTGACTCTGAGTCACTCTTGTCTATGCTGGGTAAAGATCTTGGAACCTCATTAATGCAAAGACAACCAAAACCTTTGTGATGGAAAACAATTAAAGGAAATATCAAACCCATAGCTCTGATAAATCTTCTTTATGTGTTAAACCAGGGGTCTGTGTTAAGCTCCACCTGGAAGCTATGGACACATCTCCCATGGCCTGGGAGCGTGTCTGGAAACTCTGGCTTTATGTAGAGGCAATATTCCTGAAGGTCCTGAGGACGTGGGGTCTCTCTGACTTGGTGTACCCTCTCAGCCAGTGTTCTGGAGTTTTCTCTCACTCTCTCTCCCCTTTGTTGAACCAAATTTGTGTTTACAGCCCCATTTGCTCTCCCTGCCAGGCTGTCCATCAGCTGTGCTGAAGGTGGGTTTGGCACACACCCCAAACAGTTTGTTACTTGGCCAGGGTTCCCTGGCACACAGTTTGCTTCCCCACACAGTGACGGGCACGTCTGGCTGACGGGCTCTTTGTCTGGGGCCTTCTGCATATTCAGAGCTGCTCCTTTGTCACCAGCCCAGGCAGCAGATAGTGAAGAGTCATAAATGTGCCCTGTTCTTACACCACCAACTGAGGAGAGAACGAGCTGCTTTGGGATCAACTGGTCGTCTGTGGCTCTTTAACTCCCCAGGTGTTGTCCAACCACACTTATCCTACAACAGTTCTGTCCATCACTGGCTTTTATGCTTTTGGTATCACCTCCCATGGTTTGTGTTCTATGAGTACATTTAATATTGAAATGGACAACTCTGATGATTTAGTAGCTTTGGGAGGGCAAGTCTGGTGTAAGCAGAGCTGACAGCTCAGGGTCTGGGCTGCTTTTACAGTTAGAAAAAGGAATTTTTCCCTGTTTGCTGGGTGCCTAAACTGACAGGTAACACCTGCATTACCCTAATTTGTGCAACAAAGTGGTTACAAAGGGAGTAATAAATTCAACTGGTAACCTGAAAAGCCAGGAATTTCCTTGGCCACGTGGACATGACACGTGGAGTGTCTTTAGTGTTGGGGCTGCCTGGTTGTTGGTATCAAAATGGTGTCACAGATTTTTTGTAATTGCCTTTTTTCATGTCCAAAGTACAGATTTTCTTTTTGTCCTGTAACTGCTTTCTTCCTGTCAGCACTGAATAGATCCTGTAAAGGTTGGGAGTCACTTTTTACTTTGGAATACTTGGACAGATTGCTTTGTTCTGCCTACAGCAGCGGGTTTGGGTGGATAACAAGCCAATTTATTGGCAGGGGAGAAATCAATGGCACACTTACAGAGGACTTTTGCTGGTTTAATTAGACTACACAGACTACTTTTCAAACAACCCAGTCAAAACAGTGCGTTGTGGAAACACACAAACCCCTCATTTAAAAGGAGAAGGTCGGAGATCAAACTTTTCCATTGTTTGCTGTGAATCCCCTATAAATAGAGCCCCCAAAGCTGCCAGTGCAGCACAGCCGAGTGATTCTCCCCGAGAAATCCTGCCAAAGTGAATGTTACAGCACCATCTAGTGCCTCTTCCTCCAGCAAGAGAGGGAATTCATTTAGTTTTCCACTGAATTCCAGTCTGTAGGTGGGCATGAGGGAGGGCATTGGCTGCTTATACATTCTGACAACTTTTCTCTCAACTAGTGCAGACAGAGGAGGGAGCTGAGGGATGTAAAGGAGCTTTGGAATTTTACATGGCAAAGGTTTTCTCAGTAGAGCTGCTCTGAGTTCCTTTTTCATCCATTTACCAGTTTTCCTCCTGAGCACAGTGGATGCAGGATGGGAATCTGGGAGGGAAAGCACTGTGGTTAAATAACAAACTGACCAAATGGTATATTTTGGGGGGGGGGAAGGTGAGCTGTGTTTTTGGTAGAGCACATATCCCGCTTGGAATGACTGGCAAGGGGAGGCTGGGGGTTGTTTGCAAACACCTTGTGTTGAGAACTGCCCCTGTAATTAATGCACAAGGCCAGGTAACCAGCACTCAAACCTTTGCTCTCCTCATCCCGACTATGACCTGGGATGAAAACTGAATTAACACTAAATGAATACTAAACTAAATTCTCAATCTCTTTTGCACTGCTGTCCTTTTCTTTGTTCCTTTTTCTCCTGGAAAGGTGAGTAATGTCCTCTGCCTCCAAACCACTCAGGGGTTAACCAAGAACCACTTTGCAATTAGCCACTATTCCCAACCAGCCACGGGAGATGACTTGAATTTGGGGATGAAACCTCCCAGGACTGGTGATGTGGCATTTGAACTTCCATTTTATTTTAGGAGTGCTGTTTCCAGAAGCAAAGCTCACCCCAGCTGTCTGGGTGTATCTGTGAGAAGCAGCTGCTCCAAAGCAAAAAAGCCCTTCATCCCACTGGAGTGCTCTGACTTCATGGAAATTACAGCAATTTGGGGACTCTCAGACAGATTGGCACTGGCCAGATTAACTGATGGACTCTGGGATATACATAGCCTTGCCCTCACCAAATTTACTCAGATAACTTGGGACTGAGATGTTGCTCTTCAGTCTGCAACCTGTTTGTAATCTGGCCTGGAGGAATAGCAAACATCTTCCAGTGATTCCAGTCTCCATTTGGGAACACACCACATGCTGGGAGGGATTAAAATGTTAAGGGCATAAAGAGATGCAATAGCACCCAAAGTTAGAGATAGGGAAATCCTGGGTTTTGCTCCCAGAGTTTCCACTACTTATCATTTTATGATGATTATTATTGAATTTAGTGCTTCCTAAAAGAAATCTCAGTTCTTTCAGTCAAGGAATTATTGGAGAATCTCAGGAGCCACTAAAAAATAAGGTCTCTCCCTCAAGACTGCAGAAACGAGCTTAAAAGTGTGATTTAAATGTACCCCCAGCAATCCAGTAAAAAACCAACAGAAATCAAAATGGATTAGCATATCAAAAGAAGTATATTTAGCATAACTTTTTTAATGAAACCCCAGGGTTTGGAGGAGTGGCTCATATAATTTTTAATACTTCAGCTGGCCAGGCTCAAACCAGCCTGACAACAAAAACATTTGATTGTTTTTATTATGGTGTATTAACAGACACAATGCCCTGCAATTGTGTGTATTACACTGAGATAATGCAGGAAAACTTATGGAATCAGAACTTAATAATTTCAGTGATTATTGTATTCTTATAAATGCTTAGTATTTGTGCTACATTCCTCATTTGGCAAATGTGGTAGTGATTGTTGCTCTAAAGGCACATTCAGGTCAGTATAGATAGTGATTATTTTGGAATTGCCCACCCATGACGGTAAGGAAATTAGAGTGCTATTTGTCTTTTAAATGTGCTTCTCTAAAACATTTTAATTCTGATTGAAAAAAATATAAAAATGAGTGTTTTGCTCGCTGGCTAATCATTAGTTTCCTCTGTCACTGGTCCAGGGAGAATGTTATTGCCGAACTGAAATGGGAGATAGTCAAAACACAAAAGTGCAGAATTCTGCCCTGCAAAAAAGGCCTTGGAATATCTCCACTGAGGGGACTCCACACCCTCTGGGTAACGTGTTCCAGTGCTCTGTCACTGCACAGAAAACAAGTTTTTGCTCATCTTCAGATGGAACCTCTTGGGCATCAGTCTCAGCGTTGCTGTCTCTCGTGCTACTGCTCGGCACCACAGAGAGGAGCCTGGCTCCATCCTCTTGGCGCCGGCCCTTTGTAATTTAATAATTAAATAATTAATATTTGTGTGCATTGGTGAGATTCCCTCTCGGTCGTCTCTCCTCGAGGCTGAACAGCCCCAGCTCGCTCAGCCTCCCCTCCCAGCACAGATGCCCTCACCATCTCCCCGGCCCTTCCCTGCGCCCGCTCCACCGCTCTCTTGGACTGATTTTTATCTCATCGTTGTGTTTATGGCTTCGTTCTCAAGCCGTTTACCCAGCAGGCTCCATCCATCTGGTTTTATCCACATGCAGCCCCTCTGCCAGGCTCAAAGCCGGGCTCGGGCACTGAGGCACCTCAGCAGGTGCCGGCCCGGAGGCTCTAACGGGGTCAGCCATGGCCCTGCCCTCTGGGGACAGCAGAGGCTCGCTGTCCCCGGCACCGCCGAGCCGGGGGCCGGAGGAACTGCCCCTGCCCGGGGGATACGGCACCACCGGCCCACGATCGGTGAGAACCTCGAGGGTCGGTGAAAGTCCCGCTCCCCTCAGCCCACGGCCCCGGCTCGGGCTCCTCCTCCCCCCGCTGCCCCGCCCCGGCCGCTTCCCAGGCTCCTCTCCGGGTAAACAGCGATGGCCGCCGAGGAGGGAGGCGGCGAGCCCCGAAACAACATGGGGAACCACCTCCAGCTGGTGCCCGGTAAGGGCCGGGCCGGGGGGGCGAGCGGAGGGGAGGGTTAGGGCGATGTGAGGGGCGCTGAGGACAGCGGGCAGCGCTCAGGGGCCGTGAGGGCAGCGCCGGGCCGGCCGTGTGTGGCCGGGGGTGCTGGGCTCTGGAGCTGCGGGCGCTCCCGGTGGGTGGGAGGCGAACCGTGAGCGGTGGAGCCGCAAATCCTGCTTTTATAAGGCCTGGGCTCTCATAAATCCCCCGGCGGGGTGAAAGAAGGGACACTCGGTCGGCGGTGTTGGGGTGAAAGCACTGTGGGGTTTCCACCGGCTTGGGCAAACCGGACGCTTCGCTGCACATTCAGAAACCAAGCGGAGTCTGAGGAATACATGTGTTATTTTAGAAGGTCTCCACTGCATTTAAATGCTCTTCAGTGCCATTAATAATGAGGGAAGCAAGAGGTGCTGCGGGCTGGAGGGCAGCGTTGTGTCCCGTGTGCTGTCCAGGCTTTGGCAGTGTTTGTGCTGGGGCAGCCAGGCTTATCTATGCACACACACCACTATAAGTCCTCATTATGCATAATTATTGCATAATAATGTGCCTTTCTCTGCACATAGTGCCTCCAGACTGGCAGGAGATCGTATGGTTTGGGAAGCAGCTTGTGCTAAACTGGAAAAAAACCACATTATTTCAGAATAAGCACGTAAACAAGAAAGTAGCAGTAAGTCCTGCCAGTAACCAAAGTGATTTCCCACGGCAGGAAATTCTATGAGCATTTTAGGCCTGTATATTTTAAATGACATGAAAATATTCCCTGACTACTTTAGGAAATACAGCCTTAATGGGATTACATTGTTATGAGGTTCACATTTCTGCACAGAGGCACTGAGGGTGGATTGGGAGCTTCTGGGAGCGCCTGATGTGCCACGAGGGGAACGTGAGCCTTGTCATGCAGGGTCCGCTCAGCGCTTGCCTTTGCCTTGTCCCTGCGTGCTGGAGGCCTAAACAAATCATAATAAATGCAGGGTGAGGGGTGTAAAGGTGCAGGCTGTGCTGCCTCCCCCTGCTGTCCCCGTGGTGAGGGTGAAGGCGCCGGTGTTTTCTCGCCGCTCGCTGGTGCTGCTGCAGTGGGATGAGTCATCGTTCCTGTGCCACCACACAGCAGCCACTGTGCGCTTTTGGCAGGAACCAGCCAAAGTTTGCAGGGCAGGCAGCTCTTTCTGATCAACTGCTGTTCATTCCTTCTGCCTTCGGCAAAACCAGGGGAATGGCCTCACTCTGAAAGGCTGTTCAAGCTGCTAATGATGGATCCAGCTGGATGAGAGCACATGGAAAGCAGAATATTTTTTGTTTTCCTCCCCCCATCCTTCACTGCTGCCCCAGAACCAAATAAAAGCTTCCTGCTCTCTCCCTCCATCAAACTAAGCAAAATAATGGCAGTTTTATACATCTTGAGCGTTTTGCAATCATCCATGGTCAAGGTTTCTAACTGAATGTGATGGAAGGAAATTTCATATAGAAATGGAATATTTTTAACAATAATTAGGAAGATGATGTCTCATTGCCTAAAGTATTTTAATTAGGTAAAATACCAAAGAGAGCCTGTAACCTCCTTTCCTGACACGCTGGATCATTTCTTGTTGAGCTAAATAAAATACAGGATGGATCCATATGGGGAGGTTCTATAAACTAGGCGTTATTACAAGGCAAATGAGGTGGAGCAGAAGGAAGGCTATTGACTAAACACTTTATAAAGAACCTTTAACAAATGTGTGTGAAGGGCAAAAAGGGAAAGGAAAGGTTCTCCAAAACCAGCTTGTAATGTGTTCTTCGCTGTTCTCCTGTCTTCCCACTCTCAGAAACAGTAAAACAAGTGGTGCTCCCCTTTCTTAAGGGAGATTCTTCTGTTCTGCAGCACCTTTCTTTTGTAAGATTTACCTACAGAACCCTTCAGATCAGTTAATCATTTTAAATTTTCAACTCTGGCTTATTTCCTAAGAATATACTGATTGCAAAGGCAAGCAGCTAGATAGCCGGCCTGCTGTTAAGATATTTTTCTGCTTATCTTGTAATAGCTTTCAAGATCTAAATGATGTTTTTCAGCACCGTTGGGATTATCCATTACCCAGCAGCTCTTGGTGTAAGAATCCTGCAGATTGGCTTGTGATAACATCTATTTTAGACATAATATGCTGTATAAATAGTGTTTGTGTTCAAAGAAATAGGGTCAAGTAAAGCAGATACAAATTTGTGATCATTGCATTGCATTTTGTTTGGGTGTTTGCAGGCACACACTGTATGGGAATACACAGAACAGGCAGTGAAACCAGCATTTTAGACATAATATTTTTTATTATTTCACTGTGTTTCAAATTTAATTTAGAATATCCATACAGATTTTATACAGATAAGTGCACTGTTTATGTTTCCAAAATAAAACATGCTGATAATTTAACTGTCCTCTTGCTGAAAGTAATTTTAAGATCAGCATCTGGAACTGAGAAATAGGAAGGAAAAGGTAATTTTTAAATACTGTTTTATGCCTGAAATTCTTTGAAGTCATGTAATTTACTTCCTTAGGAGTTGCCTTTGCTGGGTTTGTGTGTTTGTTTTGTACACACAGCAGGGCCTGACAGCAGTTAAATTGTCTAAAATACCAGCAGGAGTCCCTGCATGAATACACAGCTTCACATTGCTTATTTTTATTGTTGGGGTTTGTACTGCTTCAAACACTGCATTCAGCATCCTACAAGAAATGAAGTTATCTGGAAACCCAGTGTACAGACAGAAAACCTTTAGCACTGAGATAAAGAACTACTACTGTAGGGAAAATCTGCACTGACAGCCTTGGTTTATTATTTTCTTCCAAAAATGTCGTTCTTTAGCCTTTCAGAAGTGAATTACCAGCGTTTGAGCCTTTCTGTAGAATAATGATTTTGCTGTAACAGCAAGAAAATTACATTTATTTCTCTCAAGTTTACACATATAAAGGTTGCTTCCCTGTGCCAGGCTGTAGCCTGGGAATATTGAATGCGTTTCCCCCATTCTCTGATTTTTCTCAGTTCCTTAGTCTTTGCTGACTGATTTCTACACAATATTCTGTCTGTGCTTCTTAGCAGAGAGTGAGGAAGAAGATGACAATGAAATGGAAGTGGAAGACCAAGATAGCAAAGACACAGAAAAGCCAAATGTCATTAATTTTGATACCAGCTTGCCCACATCACATATGGTACGTTTTTTATATATAGTCCATTAAATACATTTTGAAGAGGTTTGGATTGGGTTTGTGCAGTTCTGTTGTGATGTTCTTAACCCCAAGACTTAATTTTAGTTTCATAGAATCATGAGAATTGAATGGTTTGAGCTGAAAGGACCTTAAAGCTCATCCAGTCCCACTCCCTGCCCTGGGCAGGGACACTTCCTACTATCCCAGATTCTCCAAGCCCTGTCCAACCTGGCCTTGGACACTCCCAGGAATGGGGCAGCCACAGCTTCTCTGGGCACCCTGTGCCAGGGCCTGCCCACCCCTATAATAAAGAATTTTTCCCAATATCCCATCTAACCCACTCTCTGGCAGTGGGAAGCCATTCCCCCTTTCCCTGCCACTCCAGGCCCTTGGAAACAGTCTCTCCTCATCTTTCACGTCAGCCCCTTCAGGCACTGAAAGGCCACAGTTAATCACTGGAATCCTCTCCAGGCTGAACAATCGCGGCTCTCTCTGACTGCCATTCCCGTGTTCCCAGTACTTAGGCTCGGACATGGAGGAGTTCCACGGCCGGACGGTGCACGACGACGACAGCTGCCAGGTGATCCCGGTGCTGCCGCACGTGATGGTGATGCTGATCCCGGGGCAGACGCTGCCCCTGCAGCTCTTCCACCCGCAGGAGGTCAGCATGGTGCGCAACCTCATCCAGAGGGACAGGACCTTCGCCGTGCTGGCCTACAGGTAAAGCACTGCACCTCCCACTGCTCTGCGCCTGCAGTGCCGTCCCTTTGGGTACTGGAACAAAAGCATCGGTTCTGTGCTCAATAACAACTTGTGCATCGAATTGTTTGCCCAAAATTGCCTTCCAGTATGAGAAGGTTTTCATGTCGTGCTCGGTAGGTGCTTGACAGCATCACGTTTTTGTGTAGAGGAGCAGCAAGTGCTGAGCTGCTGCCTTGGTTGAGCATCCTCTTGAGTTTGGTAACTGTTTGTTCCATCTTGCTTAGAGAATAAGCCTGGACCTGAAGTGGCAAAAATCACATTGTTGTTTTGAGAGCTTTGTTGTTGCTTGTTTTGTGTATAAATTAACAAGCACACACAGATGTTTCATGGTAGAGTTGGGACACAGGAGGTGATAGAAAAGCAGGAAAGATGAAGGCTAATCAGTGCCAAAAGAAGTTGGGAACGTTCTTCCCTCTTCCCCCCCAGTTTACTATTGTTTAATTACGTAGGAGGTGAGAACAGTTATTTTTATAAAGTCCATCTAAAGAATGTTGGTACTTTAAGTACCTGCATTTGAAATGCAGATACATTGGTGATCCCTGTGCTCCTAGAATGTCACCTCTAGACCCTGAAATAAACACAAGTTAACTGGCAAAAAAACCCAACCATAAAAAAGAAAATTAGGAGTTGCTTTTAAAACAAAATAAAGGAATTATGGACAAATAATTGTGATTAGTTGAAAGCATTTTACCAAAATTACTTTTTTGGTAAGACTCCTCATGTACAGTCAGTACAGGCAGACTGACTCCTGGAGTTTGATGAGGGTGGGTAATTGATTAAATTTATCTTTATTCTGTTATTTTAGTAATGTACGTGAAAGGGAAGCACATTTTGGAACAACAGCAGAAATCTATGCCTACAGAGAAGAGCAGGAATATGGAATTGAAACAGTCAAGGTGAAGGCAATAGGAAGGCAGAGGTTCAAGGTGCTTGAAATAAGAACACAGTCAGATGGGTAAGACAATTATTTAATTCTACTTACTGCAAATCTTGTCTCCCCAAAACTTTACATTTTACTGCAGGTGCATCTGCCCTTTCAGTCACACAATTGTCTAGTTACTGTAGATAGTAATTGAATGCCTAATCAGAGCTGCTCTGGTTATTAAGGACTTCTGACATTTTTCCCTTTGTAAGCTAAAAACCCACTGAGATTTGTGCATAAATTTTTGACTGTGAAACCACCATCTTGATTTTAGCTAACTAACTACCTCACCCATCATTTTCAGTTTCTCAAATCCTGAGTCTTGTTCATCTTAAGCATTGTCACAGTTTAGTCCATCCTGACCTTCAGCAAGTGTTACTCCTCCTCTCTGTTCACTGAGACTTCACTGACAGAAATGTGCTGCTTCTCCTGGTATGGCTTGGCAATTCTCTGCATGTGCTTGTCAGACACACTCAAGTCACCTTTGATAGGAATATTCTCTTATTTCCTAGTCCTTTTCCATGTTCCAGTGTGATCCCTGTGACATTTAGATGCACTTTTGACTGGCTTTATGATATTATGTAATTAATACCTTTGTCCATTTATAAAAATGATTGAGATCCTTAACATTTAGTAAGAATATGCTGAGTCTTCTCTCATTTTCTTGTTGACATCATGCCCTGTATCTTGAGCCTCTGTCATTGTCACTGTCCAGAGGTACAGGCTCCAGCCACTGATCCTGTGAACATGTGACAATTCTTAGCACAATTTCTGCAGGTTCCTCCAATCTTTTCTGCAAAGCTTACAAAGTGTTACTCCAAACCTGTGAATCTGCAGCTGATCACCTGTATCCTGCTGTTCAGTGTAGTGGCATTGCTTTAGGAAGAGTCCTGGGAGCAGTCAGGCCCAGCATTTTTATGCTTTTATGACCTGCAGCTGAAGAAATGAAGAATACCTGTGCTGCTTGCTGTTTGTCACTGTGTAACCTTTGGTTACAAATAACACTCCAAATTTTGCAGCTCAGGAAAGCCACTACTTGGACACACGGTGGCAGTACTTGGACAGCTGCAGTAGCAGCAGTTACTGAGGATTCAGTGTCCAGAGCTTCTGAGCAAGCAAAACATTTCCATAACTCTTGGTGTTTCTGATTGTTAAGTGCTTATGGCAAAACATCAATTTATAATTTATTGGAAGGTACGAGTTCAGTGTTGTCCCTCTGATAAAACTGTAAATTTGGAATGACATGCACTTCAATATTTCAGTACTTCTGCATAATACTGATAAAAAGGGAAGTCTTTCCCCTGGACAGCATTCTTAGTAACCACACAACATCTGCTGAACTCTTTGTGGAATAGGGATTTGATGGTGGGATATTAAAAGCTGGTCAGAATCCATATCCTGTTTCTGCTGATTCTGACCTCTGGCTGAGCACATAAGCTTTTGTGGTTTGAAGACAGCAAACTGCATTTCAGCTAAACCACCTTTTGAGGGTTTGAGATGTGAGAGCTGACTACTGGCTTGTACCAAAAGGAACCTGAGGAGACAGAAATCTAAATAGGTAGTGCTGAGGTTGGTGGAATGTTCTGCTGCGTTGCCACTGTGACAGAAATCCGTCTGACAAAAAAGATTGTGATGGAGTGGATTGCTGCTTAAATTCTGTGCTGCTGTGTAGTGATTAATTCATTAGACAGCCCTATGTTCTATAAGCAGTGTTTTTAACCTCTTGGATCTGTGTGTGCACCTCCTCCTTTTCCTTCTCCTCTCAGGATCCAGCAGGCCAAAGTGCAGATCCTCCCGGAGCGAGTGCTGCCCTCCACCATGGCAGCAGTGCAGCTGCAGTCCCTCAGCAGGTGCCACGTGGTGCCCTGTGCCAAGCCCTCCTCCTGGCAGGACAGAGCTATACGCCAGTGGTGGCAGAAGTATCAGAAGGTTGGAAGTTACTCTGTGGTTTTGGTTGAGGGTTTGTTGTGTTTTTTTTAATTTCTGATGGTGTTTTGAAAGTCAGTATAAAATTCTATATAGAGGAGGGGGCACAACAGGGAAGGGAGATGCCAGCATCCTGCTTTGCATAGAATCACAGGAGGTTTGGATTAGAAAGGTCCTTAAAGCCCATCCAGTGCCACTCCTGCCCTGGGCAGGGACCCCTTCCACCAGCCCAGGGTGCTCCAAGCCCTGTCCAACCTGGCCTTGGACACTCCCAGGGATGGGGCAGCCACAGCTTCTCTGGGCAACCTAGGCCAGTGTATATATGTATTTATTATTAAACCCACTGTTTTTGATGTATAAAAGGGAAGTTACCTTGAAATCTTCTGTCCCTAAAATCTGCTCATGTTAAAGAATGAATATTTCTGGGTTTGGTTTCAGAGGAAGTTCCACTGTGCCAGTTTGACATCCTGGCCTCCCTGGCTCTACTCTCTGTATGATGCTGTAAGTCCACCCTCTGTATTATCAAATAACCAACAGTTTTATGGCTGTAATATCTAAGTGTTGGATAATGTAAAAGCTTGAATTTTGTTGGCTCATAAGTTACAGTTTAAAACACTTGAGAGTTTTCAGTGTAGTGTGAAAAGATCAGGAAGGGCTTCCCCCTCTGTGTGGTTGTTTTCTCCTGCTAGAACATGTTTGTGGGGGGGATAGCAGAGCTTCTGATTCCTGCTGTGTTGTCTCAGAGCAAAAATAGTTAAAATACGTAGATACAAAATGATTCTTTAATTATTGCAAGTCTTAAAAGCTAACGTCCACTTAGGGAAAACACCTTACTCTACATTTTGCTTCCCTTTTTTTTTTTTCCCCTAAGAAACCAGAAATACCTATGTATTTAAATTAGGCTTTTCTTCTAACAAAAGGAAACCTTGATGGAAAGAGTCAAGAGGCAGCTACATGAATGGGATGAAAACCTCAAAGATGAATCTCTTCCAACAAACCCAATAGGTAGGAAATTACTGATTTTACAAACTCCAGTTTGCTTTCTTGTTTTTTGTAATTTCTACGAGAACAAAGCTTAGATAATTACCCTGTACAGGGTAAGTGGAAGCAGTGGGTTTGGTTTCTCTGGTACATTCTAACAGACCTGCTGGTCTCTCATTTGCAGATTTTTCTTACAGAGTTGCTGCCTGCCTGCCCATTGACGATGCTTTACGTATCCAGCTGCTTAAAATAGGCAGTGCTGTGCAGAGGCTCCGCTGTGAGTTAGACATCATGAACAGAGTGAGTAGCTGTGCCTTCCTTGTCCTCAGATTGCTCTTGCCAGAAAGAATTGTAGCAGTGACTGTTACAATCCCTGACAAGAACATGTTAATTTTCCAGCTCATCCTTCTAGAGAGTGAATTTCTGTTTTTTCTTCCTTCCCCTTGAAGTTTGCTCCAGAAGGGAAGTGGTCTCTCAGTGCTGGGTTTTGTTTGGCAACAGGCATGAAACAAATAATTTTTACTCCTGTTTCAAGGCCTCCCAGCACTTTTTAGCCAAGAGATGGTGCTGTAGGTGCAGTGTTGCTTCTGAGCATCTTCTGAACATCACACAGACACTGCAGTCAGGGATCAGTGTGCCATGGAAACCTGGGGATTGTGTAGCAAAAAATCAGCCTTTGTACTGTTGATCTCTTGGATATCAATCTAAATATTGTACTAAAAGGATTTTTTCCCAAAAGACACGTATTAACTTGTTAGGCAATACTTTGTTAAGATATTAAAAAACTTGTCTTCCCTTCTTTCCAGTGCCGTGGCCTTGTGATACAATGTTTTATTTTTATTCAATACATTTCTTGATAGGAATCTATGCTTTATTAATAATAATATTGTTTGTCTGCTTGATACAGAGCAGTGGAAATTTTGCCTGTTTGCCTAAAAAGTGCTGCCTGTTTCTGGGGGAAAGAGAACCACAGTATCATTTTAATGCTGTTCCTCTTCCCACAGTTCAGGCACCAAAAAATGTAGAAGGAAAAATACAGAGAATGGAGACAGAAAATATTTCTTCCAAATTCTGAGACAGAAATGGGCAGGTTTTTGCCTGAGGATCTGTAACCAGATTAAACTTCATTTGTCTTTCCTGAGTCAGGAACTCTGAAAATACTCTGCTGCTCAGGTGCTACTGAGAACTGTTCATGTTCAGTACATTCTGTATTTTCTGTAAATTCCAAGGGGACAAGGCTAAAGTTACCCTCATAAAATAGAAGGTAAAGTTGATTGTTAACCTACACTAAAAAGGTGTTTTCTTCATCAACATGTGCAATTCTAGCCTGTAAATGTGTTTAACTATTCTGTAATAGGGTGAGATTGGTGAGTGCATTTATAGCTTTTTCAACAATACCTATTTTGGTCCAATCCACTCTTTTTTTAGCCAGAGTTCTTTAGGGTGCTCTGGCTTGTTCAGAATGTGATTCCCAGTGAAATAACTGCTCTGAGGGCCTGATCCATTTTCCTTTATCTTTGATATCAGTGAGTTATATTGGACTTCCAACAGCCTTTCCTGCAGTTAAAGCCAGTTACCTATTTCTGTGCTTATGTGAAGGAGTGTACGTGACTCACAGGTCCAGCACTTGTGTGGATTCCACTCCAGAGTGTAAATTGTGGTCATTAAATGGGTTTGGAAGTGGAGGGATGGAATTAAGCAGCTGCTAAATTGGACTCTCAGAGTGCTGTCTGAGCATTGGGTTACAGTGTGTGAGTAAAGTCCAGTTTTTGTGAGTAAAGGTGATTTAAAGGAGTGGGTGAGAGTAGGTGTTAAAGTGTAGGAGAGAAAGGCCAAGTGAACTTCCAGAGGAAAGTGAAGAGAGTGGCATAAATCCAAAATGCAGTGGATCATCTGGGGGGAATTTCACAGGCATTGCCCTTAAAAAGAGGTACTGCACCTCCTGAAAATTTATGGTAGCTGATTCACTAATTTACTAAGCTGAGTTAAATGCTTATTTTCTGGGCAGTGATGAATTGCTTGGTTCTACTTTCTGGAAATTGTAGAAGATGGATTAATCTGCTCTAATCTCCCAGAGAAAGATCAATATGTTTTACCTATTTTTTGTGAGGAAATTAAACCCATTGATCTACAGTACTCTGAAATTTTAGAAAGACTTAATGATTGCATTTGTACTCATCTGCCTTTTCTGTGCTGCAGTTTAGAAGAGCAAAGGTTGTTTTTTTCTAAATTAGCTTTTAGAGACCTTGGGAGGCTGGCTCATTTATTATCTTCCTGTAGCCAAGTACAAAACTGTGTGTGGATCTCTTTGTGTGTAGAAATTGTTATGTCTTTTAGATAATAATGAATGTTTAAATAAGTAAAATGCGTAGAAGAAAATATCCTTTCACAGAAAGAGAAAACCTAAGTGCCTGCTGCTCAGATAAACAAAATAATTGCTCCAAAGTCTGTTCTGAGGGAGAGAGAGAGAGATGTTTATTATTTGCCACTGCTGACAAGTGTCTGGAATGAATGGAATGACCCTCTTTTTTTCCCTTCCCAAGTGTACATCTCTCTGCTGTAAGCAATGCCAAGACACAGAAATAACTACCAAGAATGAAATATTCAGGTGAGTTTATTGCTCTTTAATCTGGGGGAGGTTCTTGGTCAGGAACCCTGGCACAGCTGGGTTATGTCTCAGAACTGCTGTGTTTTGCACAGCTCCAATAAAATTGAAGGAAATATTTATAGGGTTTTTTTAAATAAAAACTGAGGAAATCTGAGGTATGTTGTACCAGAATGTAGTGTGGTGCCACACACCCAGCACCTTGCACTGAAGCATTTGAAATATGAACGTGTTACATGAGGCTTTGTCATCCTGTTGTTTCTGAAGAAAGGTTATGAGAGCCCGGGTTTTATTTCTCAGCCCTTCCATCATCACTTCGATGTGTCAGCAGGAGATGAAAATGCACTAATTGGGGGATATAAATAGGCTCCCAGGGTGTGTCATGCAAGGAAGGTGTATTTATGCCATTAAGCATTGTGAGCCTTGTAAGAATTTCAGGTTATCCCTAATAACTGCAGTTCTATGTGAACTGTACAATACCTTCCTTGTTTAACAATAATAAGACTGTACATTTCCCAGATAATTGCTGCTTCTGGCAGTTTTGTCACTGTTTTAATCTTGACTATCAGCCCATCCCCTGTGATAATGTGAAGGTTAAAAGATGTCTTGGTTTAACAAAGACTCCCCCCCAGTTTTCCTTTATCAGTGTGATAAGGAGCTGACGGGGTAATTAAAAGCCATTTCTTATCTTCTAATCAAATAATGGATTGCAGAAGCCACAATTCCTACCATGTCAGTGTGATGTACTTTAACAGAAGGTGAGAAGTTGGTGTGATAAATGAACATTTTTGCTCAGTGTTAGATTTTAATTGCTTTTATTGGCAGTTGCTGTTTAAAAGCAGCAAGTCAAATAAATGATGAGTCTATCATGGACCTTGCTGCAGTTCTAAGAAAATGGGACAAACGATGTTTTAAATTATTCCAAATATTTTCCTTCAGTTTTTATGATATAAAGGTACTTTTTTCCCCCCTCTATTTACACATACCAGAGTTTGGGGTTTGATTTTTCCTTGAGCTCTGCCAACATTACCTGTGTGTTGCAGCTTATCCCTGTGTGGCCCCATGGCAGCCTACGTGAATCCCCACGGATACATCCATGAAACCCTCACTGTGTACAAAGCCTGCAATCTGAACCTCAGTGGACGGCCCTCGACAGAGCACAGCTGGTTCCCCGGGTAAGAACACTCACATTGCACCAGAAAACGGCAGAAATTCGCCTGTAAATGTATTTCTGTGATAGTGGAGTAGTTAACTATTTAATTTTTAAACCCATGTCATCATTTCACCCCTACGAAAAACAAGGAAGTAAATTTAGACATTCAAAACACAGAACGAAACGAAAAAAAACCCCTCACATAAAGTATTTGCAGGATTTATCTTTAATGTTTTTAGAATAGGGAAGCCTTAAGATTTTAAAACATAGCTTCGAGTCTGATCACTGGTTGGTGATCTGGGAGTTTCTGAATAGTTGGTATTCTGGAATTTTCTTTGTCTATAGTTTTGTATAGGCTGCAACTAAAATAATTGTTTTCACACAGCCATCTTTGAGCAGAAAGTGCAAATGAAAATCAGAATTATATAAATTCACTAAACTATCTAGATCCTATATTTATTCTAATTATTTTAAAAGTATTTCAGTAGGGTATACTTATTCTACTGAAATATTTTTTTCCAGCTCTCAAAACTGAGTAAATGCTCTGTAAAATTAAAAGTTACATTTGTATTGATCTGATTATCATGGATTTTATTTTGGTTTGAATGAGTCAATCTCTCTGAGACAGGAGCAGAATTAACTGTCGAGATATAAAAGTTTGCCTGATAATGACCAGGATTTTTCCCTGGGTTATCACACAGCCCTGAGCAGTGACTTGGAGGGTGTGTGGCATTTCTATCCCAACACTTGCACATTTTAACACTTCCTGAAGAAAACTTATGGCTTTTAAGAGCTGCAGTTAATATTTCTCATCCTTTTGTGTTTCCTCAGCTCTTCTGTGAGGGCTTTGAAATATTCATGCTGTACCCTTGAAAGCTGTTAAAGAAAAGCTCTGTTGCTGTGGGAAGTGCAGGAAATTCCTTGTTTTTCTAAGAGCAGGGCAAAAATCCCTTTTATTCCCATTAAGTGATTTACTCAGAGAACCATTTTCTGACCCTTCTTTGAGGCTCTCAGCATTTCAGCAGCTGCTGAAACACTGCTAATAAAAAGCTTTACCTGCTTCCTCTCTTTGAGGGCTGCTTTGGGGGTGGGGAGTTGTGGGGGTTTTTTCTTAATTTTTTTAAGCTCTGCAGCGTTTTAGGTGGGAATTGGGCACCTTTTCCTTCTGTGCAAAGGCAACCTGTTGGTTTGTGTTTCAGCTATGCCTGGACCATAGCCCAGTGCAGGATCTGTGGGAGCCACATGGGCTGGAAGTTCACGGCCACCAAGAAGGAGATGTCCCCCCAGAAGTTCTGGGGGCTGACACGCTCCGCTCTCCTGCCCCGCATTCCAGAGGGGGACGAGGACTCCGACCACGAGGGCTCCCCCATCCTCTGCCTGTGAGCTGTCACCTCCTGCAGGGCCTTGGCCAGGGCTCCCTCAGGTGCATCTGCTCAGTTCTGCTTCTGATGCTTCCTTAGACCTGAAAACCCCCGAACCCACAGGCACAGTCCCCAGTCCAAGGAAACAGGCAGTGTGGGAGTGCTCTGCGTCCGTGTTGCTGTTCCTCAGGAACACTGAGACTGAAGCTGAGTCCTTGAAGGGAGAGCTGAGGAGAGGAGATGGCTTGAGACACTAAGGAGTGATGGTCCCACTGGACAGAAACGGGAGACACCAAGAAATCTCTGATCCGTGTGGCCAGACTTGAGGCTGAACTTCCTCCGTGTATAATCCCCACCTGCAGTGAAGGAAGATGGGCAGGACTAAATCCCAAATAACCAGAGTCTGATTTATGCAATATCCCCGGGATGGTAGATACAAGTTATTTGCTGCAGAGTATTTTCCATAACACACTTACAGGTGGTTTTGCTGAAATCCCTGTTTCTAACTCAGAAGTACTTCAGGTTTTTCTGCTTGTGCTGTTTCTGAGATATTTGCTGAATAACCACAGAAGAGAGAACGAGGCTATTTCTGACTGATCTAAGTGTTGGTGGCACTGCTGGAATGGGCAAAAGCAGGAGCTGCTGCTGCCTCACGGGATGGAACCCATGGGAGGTGTTTGTTCCTTACCAGTTGTCTGATCTATTTAGTCTCTTTGACTTTAGAAGTCTTAAATTTTAAATTGTTTTTAAAAAAATACACAGGTCAGTCCCAGGGCAGAAACATCATTGTCATTTGCTGTTGAATGTGCTTCAGTTACTTGTCAAAACTGCTACTGGAAAGGTTTACCAGCAGAGGTATCCAGAATTCTGGGAAGGACTCTCTAAAACACGCCACTGAGCGGATTTTTTAGGAGTATTTATCGTGACAGGGGGGAGGCAACATCTCTTTAATGATTTTTTCTTTTGCACTTACAGATCATAAAGTAAAATCCCACATTATCACCTTACAAAGAGGAAAAGTTTCCAAATAAAACAAATGAAGGCAGAGTGTTTTGAGGGAGATTGTTTTTGGGTAGGTCTTTGTTTTAGTTTTGGTGGGGTTTTTTTGTCTGTGCTCCAGAAATCAGGTGCCAAACTGAGGCAGCTTTTGCCACTGGTTTATTGGGAAGGTTTTCCCTCAGAATTCACTTTGGTGATGGAAGCTGGAGATTTCTCCCTATGTTGGTGCACATACTCACTTGTTTTTCTTGTGAAGCTTCATCATTCACGCTTTATTTCTTCACTTGCTGAATACAGTGACACAAAACTACTTTGGGTTTAGAACACAGGGTGTGAGTTGCTGATGTAGCAAGGACAGAGCACTTCAGCTGAGGGCCAGGTAAGTCCAAGCTTGTCCCACAGGGAGCTGATTTCTGTGGGAGGGGGATCCCTGCAGCTGGAAAGCCCCAGGTGTGACCCTGCAGGACGCTGAGAGGTGTTTGTCATGCCAGGTATGTAGGAACTGATGATTGTTTGTGCAACTCAGGTTTAGTTCTTTGAAGCTTCAACCTCTGTGCTTCTGGGATCCCTGAGGGGATGGGCAAGGGGGTTTTCCAAAGGATTTTCTCAACTATCAGTGAACTTCATAAGGTCTTTGGGTTTTTACCGAGTCTTTTGGATTGTCTGAACTAAAAATGTTGTCATGTTGGCAATGTTTGAATCCAAAATAGGCATATTTTGGGGATTGTGTGTACATAATCAAATGTGAACTAATATAATACAGGTAAGTCAGGAATAAAATTAGCAGTAATTTAATTTCCTTGTTGGTGATGCTGCTCCATCTGCCTGACCTGTGTGATGTTTGCCATGTGGAGGTCCAGGACACTTTCCAAGCTGAAAATGAGTGTGATGTTGCTGATGAATCCTGCCATGAATCCAGTACAGTGATTGAGCAGAGTGTACAGGACGTGGCTTCCAGGGTGGGTGGGGATTTGGGGATGGTTCTGTACATTGGTTCATGTTTTCTGGGCTTTTCTCTGTTATTAAGAGAAAACTCTTAGGTTGGGATTATGGGAAGTGGTTACAAGTATGGACATGGTGTGCTTTGAGAGCTAAAGCAAAGGAAGTGACACTTTATGATCATTTACTACATTTACTCCATTCCTTGGTTGTAGCTTCCTGCAGGAATTAATCCAGTGGCTGCTGCCCCAGGGGATCATTTTTCTCCTCCCCTGCCCTGAGATGTGGGAACAGCGCTGTGGAAGGGCTGGTGTGTCTGGGGAGGGGAGGGGGTGGGATGTGCACCCTGTGGGACAGAGGAGTGTCCTGCAGGGCTGATGGATCACAGCACGTGGAGCACAGACCCCTTTCCACGCTGTCACTGCACCATCACAATCAGAGCCTGTAATATTGCAATTTTCATGTGTTTAATTTTGATTAATAGGTAGAACCACATAGGCCACTGGCACACTGGGTCTGAAACATGTTCAGATGCTCTTTGTTTTATAATAACACTCTTTTTGTACGTGCTGCAGTTCATTTGTTCCTCTCACTGTCACCTTGAATTGCTCTGTGAGGCTGCTGAGGGGCAGCCCTGGCTCCTCTCTAACTCCTCCTCTCTCTGCCTTTTGGGACAACTTTTCTGACAAATCTTGTTGCTTGCAAACATTTGCAAAAAGAATAAAATTCAATTTGTTTCGAAACTCACCTGTTCTGTTGCTGATTGGTGGGATGGGGAAAAGGCAGTGCTGTTCACGCTGTGTTTTAAACAGGGTGGCTGCAAAAGTCACGTGGAACTAAAGAGTTTAGGACATAAGCTGTTAGTTGCTTGTTCTCTGTCAGGCACCAGATGACAAGACTCGGTTTCAAGCTTTTGTCCTTAAAATTCCTCTTTCCAAGTTCACTTTGACCCTGACAGCAATTTTGGGTAAGGTTAATGTGTTAATTTTAATTAAATCATTTTATCACCTCCCCAGCCATTGCCCTGAAGATGCAGGTTTAAGTTCTTCAAAGGAATCCATCACAGCACTACATTTTAGCACTTGTCTCCCTCCCAAGATTTCAGGAGCTCAGTAAATTGCACAGAGGAGGCTTCCATTTAATTACATCATTAAATTGAGCACCATCATGTTCTCATGAGATTTGCCTTATTAACAAACAGCACTTCTTCTCTTCCCTTGCTCCTTCCTCAGGCTCCCAAGTACCTTCAGAATAATTTATTTACAGGAACCGACTTCCTAGGAACAGAAAAGGCAGCTGGGAAGTTGTGTGAGAACCAGAAACGGTGATTTCTTTCAGCACTGCTCCTGCATTGCCATCTAGTGCTGCAAAACGATATCCAAGGAAAATGAAATCCAAAGGATTTTATTGGTTACCATGGTTTGGCAGGAAAACAACCTGCAATAAAGGTTATACACACAAGAGCTGCTCTTTGAGTTATTTTTTTGTTTTTTAACAGTACACCAAAAAAGCCAGGGATAGTAAGACACATCCATGGAGACAGCAGTGCTCCAAGAACCCAACTTCCCAAGGCAAGGACCCTGGATCTCCCCTCTAATAATGTTAATTAACATTAATAGTTCACTTCACACCCTGTAGAACCCTCCACCAGCTCTCTATGGATTTAATTACTCAGTGTTAACTTACTGAGAAGCTACTGAAGAGACAAGAAGTCCATGATAATGACTCAGCCAAGTCATCCTTTTAATCTGGAATTGATTCTGGAGTTCTGGAAAATAAAAATATGTCTAGGAAACAGACTGGTTTTCCTTGGTAAGACTGTTGGGGAACTGCTGGAGTATTTCCATCTGTATCCACCTTTCACTACAAAGAGTTAAATTACAGCTCATTATTTCCAGACACTGTCACTCTCTTAGGCACAAAAACCCTCCATGATTTTATCTAGAGGATACAAACACCTTTTCTGAAGATTTGAGGGGTTATTTTAGATATAGCACAGTCAGAATGAGAATAACCTTGCTGTCACCTCTAGAGCCTTAAAGTCATGATAAAGCAGTAAATATTTATCACCAAATACAACAGAGAGAGGTAGAAAACGTGGAATTTGGCGAATAATGTCTTACATTATTACAAAATTAAACCTCTCCTTGCAGAAATGATGGAGTAGTAACTGAGGGTGTTAAATGTCACAGAAGCTCTACTGGCTGTGAGGAACAAGATATTCCAAGCCACACTCGGATCAGGGCACAAACAGCCCTGTTATTATTCATTTTACAACCTCTTCAGGCAGCTCAGCAGTTCCTCTTTATCCATGTGGTATCCACTCTTTTTCCACTCATCCCTCAGCTGCTGCAGTGCTGTTCCAATTTCCTTCCCAGAAGTCACTCCCATCTTCCGTAAATCGTGGCCACTGACGGGGAACGTGGGCACAGTCCACTCCTGCATCTCCTTTAAAAGCTGCTCTTCCCCTTGGTACTTCAGCAGCTCGAAGATCTTGGAATTTGTGTTGGCTTCCCTAGACTAGGAGACAACAGGGAAAAAGGGAGGATTCAGTAGGAATCAGCAGAGAACAGCTCGAACTGTGCCGGATCTGGAGGAGCTGGATCTATGGAAACACAGATCTCTCCTGCCTCCCAAGTGTTCAAACTCAGTCCTAACAAACATTTCTCAGCCTGAGTGAAAGGCTTTCAACTGCTAAAAATGTGGTGGGCTGGTTGGTTGGTTATAAATTTCTTAAAAAGGAATTTGAAGCCTCAGTTTTTTGGATGGAAAAGAAACAAAGCAAATAACAGAATCACAGAATGGTTTGGCTCAGAAAGGACCTTAAAGAGTATCTGGTTCCATGGGCAGGGATCTCTTCCACCAGCCCAGGTTGCTCCAAGTCCAAGTCCCACCCAACACTGGCCTTGTTTGAAAAACAAACCAACCAACCCCACTGACTTAACTGGAACTGGTATGAGTAATATTTTAAAATTTTTTAAATATTAATATGAAAAATACTCCTCCATTTTCTGTGACAATATTACAGTGGCAGTAACCCAAAGCTGGCTCAGAATTTTTATCAGTACATATTTTTATCAGTACAGAATTTTTATCAGCCCTGTGATGAAAATATCACGGCCTCTAAAACACCAGCAAAAAAACTGGGTAAGCCCAAGAGAGGATGGAATGCTCTGAAATGGCTCTTTTAGGTTCTGTATTTCCACTAGGCCTTGTCATCTGTGCTGCCCTGTACAACTGCAAGCTCAGTTTCCTGTGAAGACCAACTAAAAGCACTGTCAGACACACTTACATCCATCAGAAAGTCCTGGTATGGCCTCAGAGGTTCTGGCCCCACGGCCTTGCTCAGTTCCTGCCGCTGCTTCACCAAGAAAAGGCCCAGGTTCTTCTCTTCTTTGGAGATTTTCAGCCGCAGGTCAAGGTTTGTGACATCATCCTTCCCCCTGAACAAGGATGTCAGGACAGTCATGGGCTTTGGAGACAGATTCTGAATATTTTTAGTGACTCTGGCAAATTCCTCCAAATTCCCATCAAGTGGGAGCCCTAAAGGGATACACAAAGGAAGCATTAATGAGAAATGTGGATGTTAACACAAGGAAAAAAAAATCAAATCTAATTTCTTTCTGAGCAAAACCAAGTTTTATCTCACTTTGCCACACTGCAAGTTCTGTTTGTACCTGATATAGGAATAATAAATCAATTTCCAGCTTACCTATGTACTGGGCAATATCCAGCTCATACATAAGTTGAACCAAATGATTGACATGGTTTCCAAGAAGAATTTTTTTCAGTTCCACCCAAATCCTTTCTCCTGATATTCCAGCCAGACCTTTGGCATTTTCTTTAATTGCTTGCAGTGTAGTAGGTTCATGATCTCCAGGTTTCTCTGCAAGTCTTCCATAAAATCTGCCAAATAAACCCCCTGGATGTTAGAACAGAACAACTATTCCACTTACAATCACAAAATCATTTAGGTTGGAAAGGAAATACGACAACTACAACTCTTTCTACGTCACTTTTTGATCTCTTATTGCACGTTTCTGAAACCTTCTACAGTTCATTTCTTCATCTGGGAAAGGCAAAACCGCTTACCTGAAATACCTGAGGATTCGTAAATAATCTTCTTGTATTCTCTCACTTGCCTTCCCTACAAATCTGATTTTCTTGCTTGTCAAGTCTTCATAACCATTGAAAAAATCATACAGTGTCCCATCCAGACCTAGAAAAAGAGGAAAAAAAAACCCAGAAAAATATGAATTTAAGAATGTGGTTGACATAATTAAAGACTATAATTTGAAAACAGAGAAGGGAAGTTGTGTGATTTGACCTGGTTGGTCAGATCATCCCACATATTTAAGCAGGAGAATCAAACAAAGATCAAACAGACAGGATTTACTGGTTTGATTTGAAATATTAAGAGATATTTATAAATATAAATATTTAGATTTATAAATATAAATATTTATGTACCCAGAAACATGGAGTTGACAGTGAGGTCCCTCCTCTCAGCGTCCTTCTGCCAGTCGGTGGTGAACTCCACCTCGGCGTGCCGTCCATCGGTGACAACATCTATTCGGAGAGTGGTAATTTCAAAATTCTGTTCATGGAGCTGCAAATCCCACAGACATCGTTACTTCAACACAGCCAGGCAAGGGAAAACCTAAAACCTGTGCATTTTTTTTCAGCCTCCTGTCCGCAGACAGCGAGTGGACAATGTACCACAAAACATGTGCCGTGCTTTCCTGCAGAGCGGACAACTGCAGAAACATGAACCCCTGACAACAATCCTTGCATTATTTATTTTCTACAGAGCCTTGCAGAAATATTAATGCAGACCAAGGGAGAGGAAACATGACCTGGGAAACCAGGAGCAGGAAAGCTGGATCAACTTGCCCACATTCTCTGAACATGTGGGTGGAATACATCATCTTTTCTGGTGATGACACAGCAGCATGAGTGGGTTACATGCACTAAAATATGAGGATTAATTGAATTCTACAATGAATAGGCAAAAAAATTGCTCCATGCTTTAGAACAGGGTCTCATTTAAAAAATCAAAACATCAAAACTCCAAGGTATCAAACCCCTGCTGTGAGGCTTTAACAAAGAAAGAGCACTCTATAACAGTTTGCTGCTGGACAAGCTGCACATCCCCAGACATTCAGATGTTTAGAAAAGATCCCAGTCCAATCCCAAACCAACCCTGGCAGTGATGGTCCCGTGTTTCTCTCCTTTGTTGTTGATCAGGCGCACTCCAGCTGAGGTGAACATCTCCTTCATCTCTGCTGGGGTGGCCGTGGTGGCAAAGTCGATGTCCTGCGGGGTCACCCCACTGAGCAGATCCCTCACAGCACCCCCTGCTATTCTCAGCTCATAGTTCTTCTTCTCGAACAGCTCTGGGAAGGAAAGGAAAACCATAAAGCACCGTCTCACACAAAACCTCACCTGCCTTCTCACAGATCATCATCACAGATGTGGGAATACACACTCAAATGTGCAGCAAGTACCTCCCAGCTTCATGCCCAATGCCCTAATTAGGGGCACAGTTGGGCACCCACAAGTATTTTCCCTGTCATTTGATATTTTTATTTTTTTTTCTGGAGCATTTCTGATGACCTAAATATTGACAGGTTGCTAATTGATACTGGGGGGTGTGGATCCTTTTAGGGGCTGACAAGGGAACAGTGCTTGGTTTACTTACGGCAGAGAGTGTGAACTGTGAACTGAATTTCTCCAGGAACAATACAGAATCATGGAATCACAGCCCACAGAGGGGAAACTGAGCTCTGCCTCGTCCCTTGAGACAGGCTGGGAGAGCTGGGGGTGTTCAGCCTAGGGAAGAGAAGGCTCTGGGAGGCCTGAGAATCCCTTCCAGTGCCTAAATGGGCTTAAAAAAAAGGCTGGGGGAGACTTTTTATGAGGGCATGGAGTGACAGGACAAGGGGCAATGGCTTAAACTGAAAGGTAGATTTAGATTGGATTTTGGGAAGAAATTCTTGCATGTGAGGGTGGGGAGGCCCTGGCACAGGTTGCCCAGAGAAGCTGGGGCTGCCCCATCCCTGGGGCAATAAACATTAACAAACAGAGTTAACACACTGAATAAATGCCTATTGTCTCTGTACATGAATCTGTTTGATGTCCAAGCAGTGTAACGAGCTACTTCAGGAGCATCAGTGCAAATAATACAAGTATTATTATTATTATTAGTGAAAGTAATAAGGGCAGGCAGTAATTATAGGACAAGGGGGGGATGGCTTCAAACTACGAGAGGGGCAATTACATTAGATATTAGGAAGAAATCTTTCCCTGTGAGGGTGGGGAAGCCCAGGTTGCCCAGAGAAGCTGTGGCTGCCCCATCCCTGGGAGTGTCCGAGGCCAGGCTGGAGCACCCTGGGCTGGTGGAAGGTGTCCCTGCCCGCAGCAGGGGTGGCACTGGATGGGCTTTAGGCCCCTCCCAACCCAGACCATTCCCCGATCCATCTCCTTGCTCAGGGACCCCACATTCACCCCTGGATCGCCCCGCACTCACCGGCCACGCTGCGCAGCCCGGGCGTGAAGAGCGCCTGGAACTGCGGCGCCTGCAGCCTCATGGCTCCGGTCCCGCCGCTCCGCAGCCGCGGCCCGGCCCTGCGGGGCACAGCGAGCGCCTGAGCCCACGGCTGAGCCCACAGGGGTGCCCGCAGCAGCCCCCGCAGCTGCCCCCGCATGCCCCGGCCCCGCTCCCCGCAGGACGCGGCTCCTCCGCCCGGCGCGGCCCGATGAGCTCAGCGCGCCCGGCCCGGCCCTCAGGGCGGAGCGGGGCGGGGCAGCCCGGCCTGAGCGGGGCTGTGGGAGCGCCAGTCTCGGCGATCGGCGTCTGTTCGCACAGACTTGTAGAGATGTGTAATAAATCAAGACCTTCACACCCACTCCCGGTCCACTGGGCTGGGATTAAGAGACCTTAAACTGGCTTTCCAGTGCTTAAATTTAGGGGCTTATAAAAGAAAGGGAGTGAGTTCTCACATGGACAGATAGGACAAGGGGAACGGGTCCAAGCTGAAAAAAGAGTAGGTTCAGATCGGATATTAGGAAGGAATCCTTCCCTGTGAGAGTGGGGAGGCCCTGGCACAGCATCCCAGAGAAGCTGTGGCTGCCCCATCCCTGGGAGTGTCCAGGGCCAGGTTGGACAGGGCTTGGAGCAGCCCGGGATAGTGCGTGGAATTGTTTGTCTCTCTTCAGTTTATGACGCTCCAGATCCCCTAATCAGGGATAATTGATTATTTATAGCTGGCAATGTACAGCTGATAATGCCTGAGTGTAGTTGAGATCTTGTCCACGTTGAACTACACCCATTTCCACCAGTTTGGCAAGGACGTTCCTAATGCCAATATAAACCTCCAAAGCACTCACCTCTCCCACCTGGTGTCACCTGCACACTTAGTAGGGATCTCTGTACTGGTGACCCAGGTTGTTAATGAATGTCGTGTCATTAACCGTCTCATCATCCTTCCTATCACTCCGTCACATTGAGCCCCGCTTCCTGTGGGCCTTGGGTTGGTTTCTTTGAGCCTCTGTTACCATCAATCATGGAATGGTTTGGGTTGGAAGGAACCTTAAAACCTATCCATTCCACCACCTGCCAGGGGCAGGGACACCTTCCACAAGCCCTGTCCAACCTGGCCTTGAATACTTCCAGGGATGGGGCATCCACAGCTTCTCTGGGCAACAGAGAATTATCCAACCCAGTGGATCACAGCTCCCAGCATGAGGTTAGGAACCTGGTGTTTTGGTACTGGTAATTTCTCAAAATGCTATCTACGTGGCTCAATGGGAAGACATTGGACAAGATGGTGTAAAAACACTGGACAAAACCTGCAGAGTTTTCCAAAAATGTTTGGGTGTGATTTTCTGCATGAAGAACAAATCGTGTCGTCAGCAGTGTGACTCTGGGTTATTTCTTTGCAGTCAGTCAGCACATTCTTTGCCACATTGCAAAGTCATTAGAGAACTGTCAGACCATGGTATACAATTAACCCTCCATAAATAGGGTGAACCCATTTCTGGGCTAAACTGCGAGCTTGTGTGGAGGTTCCATCCTGTGCTCAACCCGTAGTTCCCTTTTTCAGTGCGTGCTTATCTGACTTATCTGCCATCACTTCTAGGGGATCCCATTTGTGCTCGAAAGGCAGCAGTTATAAAGGAAACCCACGTGGAGATGACCCAGGGGACGCTGAACAAACGGAGCAGGCTCTTCACGGGACTTGGGAGAGCCCACAGGTAACCCCGGGCTGTCTGCTGTGGCTTGAGTTTGTCCTGCTGAGCTTGCTTTGAACGCTGCAGAGATCCTGCTTTGCAGTTGGTTTACACTGGGAAAAGCACCTGGAATCTGCTTCTGCCCCACTGCTTGTGAGGCAGTGGGACACAGCAGCTGTGAGGGAGACAATCATTCCCTTCCAGAGGCTGTTGTATTTGGCTTGGATTTCTGCTGTCCTCTTAAAAGGAGTATATTGGCTCTCCAAAAAGAATATCCCCTTTACCTTCTGCTTATTACTTTTTGCCATATATAACCAAAACATAATCAAGACCTCTATTTGTCCTGAAAAATTCCTACATCCATTTTTTGTGAGGAGCATAGTCCTCTTGTAGACTTCCAGTTACCGTTTTTACTTGTGTATGCTTATTTTTTTATCTTTTCAGCAATTTCTCACATGAAACAGGGAGGGTATCACAGACTGCAGTGTGTTCTTAGAGGTTAGACTTACATACCTGCAGGAATATCTCTTCCAAAAGCTGTGGTTTAAGTCTTAGTTTGGCAGCAAGAAAAAAAAATAATAGTGTTTTTACAAACAAAAGAGGATAAGATAAACTGACAAGAACAGGGTTGTAAGTAAAGACTGATCTGCATTGCAGGAACATTTTATATCTAGTTTTAAATAGTAATGTGCTGCTCAGAAAATCTGAGATCTGTGTCTAATACGTGCAGGCTTTTAGGCAGCAAAAACACCTTTGAAAAGCTGAGCTTCAGGATCTTTTCGAAAGTAAAGGGAAAAGAATGTGCCCAGGAAGAATCAGAGCCCTTACTTTTTGAAGACAAAGTAAAAAAAAAATAAATCTCTAGGCAGCCAAACCCCCTTTAAATAAACCCAAGGGACAGCCAGCTTTTCTAGCTGTGCTAAATGCCTGAAACCAATGCACTGACATTATTCAAGTCAGTGGATGTGAAGCCTGAGCAGCTGTAAAACACGAAGCTTTTTAAGGATTTCATTTAAAAAATAATTTAAATATACTTTTAAACATTTTTTGAATAAAGGTTTCTTGAAGCAGCAAAGAAAGTCCGATGCCAGTGATTTTTGCAAGTGCAGAAAGCCAAAGGAAGAGATTTTTTCAAGGAATGGTAATGCCTGGGAAACAGTCCTGGAGGCATTGTGCAGGCATGGAGGTATGTTGTAAGGAATATTTATCCCATTATTGTAAGGAATATTTATCCCATCACTTACATTGTGGAAGAGCCAAAATGTCTTTTCAATCAGCCAGTGCACACAAAGCCCAGCCCTGGCTCCCCAGTAATGTCCCTTAGCAAACTCCAGGGGTTCAGCTGGGCTCCTGCACGTGTGGGCTGGAAGAAAAGCAGACACAAAATGGGAATATAGATAATGAGGAGACTTGGACATTAAGAAACACGCTGTATTGGAGACTGTGTGGCATTTTAATGAACTCTGCACTCATGCACCGCTTTGAAAAATAGTTCCTGTAAAGCAGAATTGCTCCCACTGTGATCAATCGGATCATAACTCAGTCCCTGGGTGATTCATTGGAGGTTCAGGGAGAACTGATGGGTTAAAGATGCTTTCTCTGCTCATTACCATTGGAAAATATTATGTTTTCCATACCAGCAATTGCTGTGGTGCCCCAGGGAAGGAGTGAGATTGGGCCAGGAGGGAGTATTTCTCTTCAGGAAGAACATTTTGGAAAGCTGCTGTTCTGTATGTCCCTATTTATCTTGGGTTGCACATGAGTGATTACACACAGATTTTTTTTTTTCCTCCCTGTAATTCATGAAACAATCCATAGGAAGCACAAGAACGTGCTGCTTTTAAGCATTAAAAAGAGTTGTTCATTTAAATGAGAAACAAACAAAACAGTTTCTCCTACACTCAATAATTAACACTGAAGAATTAGCCTTGAGGTGAGCCCTGACTGCATCTTTAGAGAGCTTTACTGAAATAGCAGCTAGAAAGTAAATTCCGGTAAGGAGCTATTTTATATATGTAGTGGCAGCTAAAAAGATGGTTATTTCTGTTCTTGGAGGAAATGGGACTGTGCTGAAAGCCCATCCACCTGAACCCAACACACTCCTCTCCGTGGAGAAATGCTCTAATTCCATGACTGCTCTGAACATCCCCACACAGCAGGGTTTGAAACCAGCAGCTCTTCCAGGGAGGGCTGGGAGAGGCAAAGGGAGCGAAATGAAATGTGCTGGTGGTACTTACGTTAAATTTAGCTCTTACAGGGAGCATTTTCCTGCAAGGAAAGAGGACTCTACCCCTGCAGTTTCACTCTTCTGATCATGTGGATGTTTTTTGAGTGCTTAACCCTTAGGATTGTGTTCACTTTTTGCTCCCAGGCTCTGTGAAATGGTGACGAGGCACCTGTGCTGATGCCTGGCCGTGCTCATTCACCATCCTGAGATGAAGGCCAGCAGGATGCAAGTGTGTCTGATCCTCCTCTGGACAACCAACTCAGCTCAGCCAAACGCAGCCCAAGCTGCAGGAGGTGAGGTGTTCCCTTCTGCCAACGTGTGGCTTTAGCACCTGAGGGTGTCCAAACGTGTTGGCCACTGTTCTGCAGAGTCCATGGATGCCATGAGTACTGGGTCATGGAGAACACACTTCCTGGGACAGTTGTATCCCATCCCACGTTGCTCCCAGCCACTGCCTGAGCACTGTTTGGCTTTGAGAGGGAAGATCCACGGGGATGCCACGTGTGCCATTGTCCTCTGGGCTGGGCACTTCAGGATGGCTTGTGTTGGTTTTCTGAGCCTTTATGGGGCAGTTTTCCTGGTGGAAGGTGTGTGCTTGAGCACTGAATTCAGGGTTATCAAAGGCTGAAATTATGGGAGAAGAGAAGTGGGGGCTGATCATGGAATCCCAGAGTGATTTGGTTTGGAAGGGATCTTAAATCTCTTCTTATTCCACCCCTGCCATGGGCAGGGACACCTTCCACTGGACCAGAGTGTTCAGAGCCGCATGCAAGCTCACCCTGAACACATCCAGGGATGCTGATTGGCCCTCAGCTGCCTTGGAAATGGCAAATAAGGGAGGGCAGGTTCAGAAGAACTGGAGGGGAGCAGATTGATTATTTCCCTGCCTTGCTATTTCTATGCTAACATTTCCCCCAGCATGAGATCCTCCTCATTTCCATGGGAGCTCCAGGAATCCCTCTTGCCCTGTCATTCTAAATTATCATTCTCATCCTTCTATTTTTTTTTTCCATTTGTGCTTAATTCCTCTGTTCATCATTTTGTTTCTACTCTTGTGGCTGTCAACCTTCTCTTAGAAAGCCCCCCATGTTATGCTCCTCTGGAAGCTTCTGTGGGTGAGAATTGTCTGTACCCTCCATCAGCCCTGTTTCTATCTGTCTGTGTGGCAGTGAGGGCCAAGATGAAAAACCTGAACCTAATTAACGAGCCAAATGTAACAGATCATATTAATTTTCAAGGTGAAACTGTTGTAAACCTCCATTTTTAAAGCTAAGTTTTAAGTAAACTCCTATTTGATGAGGTTCTGGTTATTTAAAGATACTTTTAACTATTAAAACATTTTATAAGAAGCTGGTGAGAGAATATGAAATGGAAATGAAATTATTAGCTTGTCTTGCTCCCTGCTTGCAAACAGGTATCACTCCAAATGATTCACTGGATTGTTATGCCATGAATATTTTGGTTTTCTCCCTTCCAGTTCAGGTTTTCCCACCTGTAAACTTCACCCTCACGGTCTCTGCATTAGCACAAGTCCTGCTACACTGGGAACCAAACCCTGACCAAGACCAAGAGAACTACACCATCAGATATGATGTGAAGATCCTCAGCCCCGTGCCTGAAGAGGTAAGAGAAATAAATCAAGTATCCTGAGAGGGCTAAATTCCTGTTGTTCTCTTAAACTTTGAGCCCTTAATGTGTGGATCAGTCTTGGCAGGTGCCTCAATTCAGCTTCCATCCCATGGGGTGCTGATTTGCTGTTTCTGATTCCAAGTATGACACCGGGAAGACCCACAGTGTCCGAACGGTCGCGCTCCACGACGGCTTCTCCGCACACGTCCGCACCTTGCTTCTCCACAACGACCTTCAGATGAGAAGTGAGTGGGTGAAGGAAAACCTCCCCCCTCTGCCAGGTAAGGGGAAACCCAGGGAAGGCCTGCATTTTGTGTTCTGCCCCAGACACCAAACGGTGAAAGGTTTAATACTTCAAAAATACAACATTTTCCCACCTACCTGCTACACGGATCTTACGGAAGGATTTAATCCAGGCCTTTCCCTTCTGCTGCGGGGCCTGGAGGACAGGCTGGAGGTGCAGAAAATGGATAACACATATAAAATGTTCTAAAAGTTCCTTGCTAAGGCTGACATCACCTCCTGTGGTACGCTCCAGGATATTGGTGCCTTATCACACCTTAAATTTATGGTGGTACTGTGTGGCACAGATTTGGGGATCCCCACCCATCCATAACCAAGAGAACTGGAACAACAGACACACAGATAACAGACCAAAGACTGCAATCAGAGTGTTTTAGCAGCATGAATTTCTCCTGATTTTTGCAGTAAGGTTTTCCTCCTGCTCTGTAATTCCTTGACTCTCCAGGTGCTCCCGAGACATCCGTCACCAATTTGTCCTGTGTCACTCACATCACCCTCTCTGGGGCTGTCTCCCTGCACTGCTCGTGGCTTCCTGGCCCAGGGGCACCACAAGACACTGAGTACTTCCTATTTTACAGGTTGGTGTTTCCCCCTTTTCACCCAGCAGGGAAGATGCTCTTCAGGAGCATCACCTCTCACAGACATCTGAATTTAGGTACAAGAACTACACCGAAGAATGTCACAGCTATGGCAGAGACAGGTGGGACAGGAATACTGAGTGCAGCTTTCCAGGGACTCACATTGACCCTGAGGAGGTTGATGATCTCGTAATCCACATTAATGGGTCCAGCAAACGGGCTCCAATCAAGCCTTTTCAGCAGCTGTTTAACCAAAATGCCATTGGTGAGTTTAATGCACTTTAAAAAATACATTAAAAATGTCAACCAGGATTATCAAAAGATTTGTGAGAAAATACTGCTGGATTCAATTATTCTGGATGAAGGTGAAGTGCTGCTTTTGTACAGACATCTTAATGAAATTGGAAGAGGTTATAAGACAGAACTGGATTGTTTAAACTAAATTTGATTTGAATGACTTATTTTAAATTATAGAATGACAAAAATAAAAGCTAGAAAATACAGTTATTCTGTTTTTTTTAGCAAAAGCAGTACTTCCAATATTAATTTGCAACTGATGGAGTCCATATACCTTAAAGTACAGTTTTTAGTGCCCTTTATTTTGCAGCCTTTCTTTAAAAGGAGAAAGAACATGATGCTCAAGATAACCATGCTCTTAAAGAAAGGCATTATCCTATCAAATAAAGGACAGTCTCAGCCATGACTGTCCATCATCTTCCATCTACACAAATAATTTATTTTCCCTCATTTGTTCAATGTCTTTTTTTTGGGAACAGGCAATGTTTCCCTTTCTCACTGAGAGAAAAATTCACATATTTTCTTCTTAGAAATCATCCCCATAATAGCTGCTGATCCATTCCTTTGAATTTATCCCACTTTTCAGTAACTTTCTCGGCTATATCTGTTTGCTTTTTTTTTTTTTCCTGAAAAGAAGTTTTTTCTAACAGTTCTATCATTAATTTAACGCTTTTGTGAAAATTAATTTAATAAATCCCCTCCTCTCCCTGTAATGGAGTTGTCCAAAACTTTTCAGTGGACTTTCCAAACCGTTTTCCCATAACTGTTTTCTGCAGTGTAGTTATTCCTCCCAAATCCTTATCTTTTCTGCCCAAAAGGTGCAATAAATTCCAGAATTATAGGTGCTACTGGGACACACCATCAGGTTTTACAATGCTCCAACTGTCAGTATTTAAACTTTGCTCTGTCAATAACTTACCAGTGCAGTTTTCTTCCGTAGAGAAAGTGAATATTCCCAGAAATATCACTGTATCCTTGGAGGGAAACGATCTCCTGGCCACCTGGGAGAAGCCAATTTCTCTTTTCCACGAGGAATGTTTTGAATATGAATTTTACCTCGTCAACCTGAAGTCAGGTAACAAGCAGGTAAATTGCTCCTCTGCCACTCCAGTATTATATCCAGCATTCCTGTCCTGTGCAGCTGCAATTTGCCTTTTTGGGGAAAAACTCTTCAAATTCATGGGTGAGTTCCAAATTTGAAATATTTAAAATAAAACCTGCTGTTACTACATTTTTGAAACTATGGACTTCTGGTGAAACTGCTTCCCATTTGCGATGGGAAGCACAACAAAACCAAAGTCTCACCAGTTTTTATATTTTTCCTCTTTTATGTCTGCAACAAACTATCCCCAAGAGGCTTGGGAAAGCAGGAGGGCCAAATTGGAGTTATTCATTTTTATGCATCTGGGTTCAGAACAGTTTTTACTGAAAATCTGAAAAAAACCCACCCAGATTTACTGAAAATCCTGCTGAAGTGTCTCAAGGAAGAATGTAAAAATGAGGCACCTTCCAAGAATGTGCCCTGAAATATTGGTGTGTTATGAGAGAAGTTAACCTATAAAAATAGAGATTTTTACCTCCAAAGCAAGGCCAGGAGCTCACAGTTAGTGAGCAGTTTTAAAAGATAAAAATATAAATGTGATCATTTTCTGAATTGTTTCAGGATCTCTAACATCATGATGTTGTTTTTTTATCAGATCCTGAAATTATCCTCAAACAAATTCCGCTTGAGGATTGATGTGACCAGCAGATATTCCATCCAGATCAGAGCCAATCATCACCCGTGGTGTGTGAGAGGAGTTTGGAGTGACTGGAGTGAAGTTATTTATGTTGGTAAGGGTGACACAATTGTAATGGCTGTTGTTGCATTGCTGATTGCCTGATCATGAGTTACACCAGGGAATTTTAACAGGAAGAAGGAAAAAAATGACTTGTTAATGCCCAGGGGATTTAAATCCTTGTTCCATTAAAAATCAAAAATAACTACTTCCAAACAAACTTTTGGAAATATGAAGGTTTTTGGAGTACAGTACTTTGCTTTCACCTGTATATGTTTTCACAGGCTGCTTTAAACTTGCCTTTTAATTAACTTCTTTAGTTTCTACCTGTGTTTCTTTGCCATGAGACATCGTGTCAACTATTATGTACTGGAGCTCTCTGAACTCATGAATTTTTGGGGGATAAAGGAGCACCTTTGGAACGTGCTCATCTGCCCCACTTTGTTCTGTATTTCCTTCTTGCTGCAGAACTTGGTCTGGCAAGAACAGTTCCTTTATCAGGGCACGTTATCAGCTGTTTGTTCTTAGACATCCTCCTTTGCTCTTATCTTCAGTTTCTTAACTTCCTTGTTTCCACTTAGAAAAAGCCTCTTACACTCCCTTGTTTACTACACTTTTTTCCCCTTAGATCTGTTTTCCAGTGAGTGCAAATCTGCAGGTGTTTTGCCTCCTTTCTCCCTTGAATTTCCCACCTGGCTCACGTAGCAAATACGGAAAATCCATTCTGATGGTTGAAAAAAATGGTAGCCTTCCATAAAAATTTACTGAAGTCTCAACAATATCCAAGGACACTTCATTTTTTGTTACAAAAAGAGAGTTTTTTTAGAGGCTTGTAGTTCATTGACACAATCCTGCATGAGTTGTTGGGTTGCAGGACGGGCTCCAGCCACTCTCATTAGTGGTGGTCACTGAGCAGTGCCTTGGTCAAACAGAAACATCTGCATTCTGCTCACAGAGAAATCCCTGAGGAAACATATCAGCAACCAGCTGAAAATTGGGGGGGTTCAGTGTCTTTTTCACAGGTAAATTTAGGGAGCTGAAACTGGAAAGTCACTTCATGGAAACTCCTCATGAAGCTCTGATCTGGCATTTCTTATTCTTCATACCGAGTCCTCATCATTTGCTTGGTAAATTGTGACCTGAGGACAAGCACATAGAACAGCTGATGAAATATTTTAGGAGAAAGTGCTTAAAATAATCTGCACTAAATCAATATATTTAATATTTTTTTTTTCCCTTGAAATTCAGGGCAAAACAAACTGGAGAGTTCTGTGTCCTGGATTCTCGCTGTGCTTTGTGTGGCCACGTCCTGCACGTTCCTGCTTGTCACTCTAATATGCAAAATGTGAGTACCCTCATCTTCTTTTTAGTGACAGTGTAACTAAGGACCAGGTGTTCAACAAGTGTGGGGGGATGCTACAAGTTTTGCTTATTCATAAGAAAGGTCACTGAGTTTGGTATTCAAGTATAATTATACAAAGCAAAAATACTGAATAAGTAATAATCAGCCTCATTAGGTTAATATCAATAATAACAATCAGCATTGGTGGGGTAAGAGGGTTATTCAATTTAATCTTAAACAACAAACCCAGATCCTGAGAGAGGTGGACTTATTAAAAATCTCTTTGTCCTTATCTCCTTTCTTCACTTAAATGCCTGGTTGGGTCTGTGATTTCCCCAGGAGGACTCTGTGTTAATCCCTGGTGAAAGAGCATCTTTCACAGCCAAAATGCACAGAGCACTGTTGTTTGCTTTGAGTATTTGAACTATTTATTTAGTTTATTTTTAATTATACAGAGGCTCTGGATGCCATGTAGCAAAGCCAGGGGCCATATAACCAAACTCCCCAAACTGTGCTGTGAAGAAGCCCAGGTACACTTTGGATTCCCGTTGCTGTGACAAGTCAGATCAAAAGTGATGAATTAAGGAACTGATGTAATTAGAAGCTTCTCCCCTGAAACATGCAGCAAGCAGCAATTATCAGCCCACAATAAACACAGCTCCCAGTAATGGAAGTGCTCTCCTCAACTCTGCTAATTTCTTACTCAATTCTTTAGTGCCTTTTAATTTACTGGTCATCCTGATGTGTCCTTGACTATTTTCCTTTCAATACCCCATTTCCTTTATCAAATAAAAGTCTTGTCTACAGGAATGTTACAAAAGAATCACTGTTATTGCCTCTCCCTCAAGTGTCTGGCGTGTGTGTAACCTGTTCTTAAGGCAAGTTAATTAGCATACAGCTCTCAGCAAGCAATGTTTTTAGAACAAGACAGATTTCACTCCCCAGAGAGTTTATTCTTGTTCTGTGTCACACACACTTGTCCCCAGCGTGCAGCCTTGATGTATTGGTGAACCCCCCCCAAACTGCTCTTACCTACATGCCTGATTCTTGTGTGGATTGGCCTGTGGCTCAAGGTCCTCCACTGCTCCAGCAGCATCATCTTCAGCTCTCTCCTCTCAGTTTGGGACAGCAGAACAGCAGCACCAGCTGGCAGCAGTCACACTGCTCCATCTTCTGCAAGTTCTGCAAGTATTGGGATATTGTAGTTACCCCCTTTGGAGATCCTGCAGCACATACAGGGGAGAAATAGGTACAGGGGAAGACTTTTACTTAAGGACCAACTTGGAGACGCTGCACTCATTTATTTTATGATTTCAATCCATTAGGCAAATTTAAGCCTTTCAATTGTCAGCTGCTTGGTTGCTTCCAGGAGTTTCTAGTCAGTAATTCCCTAACACCCAAAGGCTCACTGCATTCCACCTTTGTCAACATGATTCAGATTTTCCCTGCCTGCTGCACTGAGTTTTGTGGAGCTGCTGGCTTTGTTCCACCCTCCCTCCTCTAATCCCCACAGTGACTGCAGGCCCTGAAACGCTGACTAAAGGCACGAGGGTCCCCTGGGCTGTGTCCAAAGCCTGGAGGTCCAAGTATTGCTGAGGGAAAGGGCCCTGCTCTAACCTGTGTAGAGACCTGGCACACATTTTGTGACAAGATATTTAATCATGTAACTTCACCTTGTCAGTGACCTGCAAAAAAGACCAGGACCGTTGTGAGGGCACCACTGTCACCAGCCCTCCACAGCCTCACTGCCAAGCCTCTTGCACCTGAGGGGCCCCCCTGGACACAAATGTGCTTCTGCCTCACTTCTTTTGGGTGTTTGTCACCCCTCCTTAAATGTTCCTATTCCAGAAGTGACATGTGACTGATGCTTTCTGCTGACTCAATAAATCATTCTGGCATGGCTCCATCAAAACCTCCTATGGACAAACAGCACAACTGGGAATGCACCAATCCCAGAGAAAACCAAACCCTGTTGGGTACACTGCCCAGCACTGGCAGAACTCAGGGCTGACATGAGATGCAGCTGAAATGGGCCTCCAGCCCCTCTGAAAAGTTTGGGAGAGCTGATCAAGTGCAGGGGCTGGGAAGACAACAGTGCTTGCAAAGCTGACTGGGCACAAGACCTGACCCTGAGGAGGAAGGCTGGGAAGAATGGAGGTGGTGCCAGGTGCTGGAGTAGTAATATTGGCACTCATCCTGCCCCACTCCTGAGTTACACCAGCAGCCACCTCACTGTCCTACTCCACTGGGGGTGCCCAAACTGTCACTTGTGCTCTGCACCCAACAGTGGCTCCACTGTGTTCAGCGTTTCAACAGTGTCTCCCAAAAACACCTCACACCTCCCCACACTCCCTCTTCTGGGAACTCAGGAAGCTTTTGGAAGAATAGTCCTGGGAAGATAAGCAGTGAACTAACCAGACATCAGCCAGGAGGGTTGGTTGTTACAAAATAAATGGGGCAGAGGAGCAGAACTGCCCTTGGTCCCAGCAGCTCCACACCTTGGTCACGTCTCTGCCTTGTGGATATCAGGGTGCCCCACAGAACAGACCCTGGATGGTAATCCTGGACTCAATCCTGTAGTCTTCACTCAGGCTGAGTTCCCACTCAACTCTGGCCCTGTTTGGACACGGTGCCATGCAGGGGGGGAGACAGTAAATGTGTTTTTGTGGGGATTGAAATGTGAGGGCTGTGCTCTGGGATGAATCAAAGACAAGGAGAAGTTCCCCTGTAGCACCTGCTAGCACAAAAATACCAATGTCTGTGTGCTGGGCCAGACTGGGGAGTGTCAGGCAGGGAAGGGGCATCTCAGAGGGTGTTAGTAGGATGAGTTATTACAGCACTCAGCTGAACCATTTACTGTCAGCCACCTCTGGGGCCTTTCCTGCCTCCTCCTCATTCCCTCGGCACACAATTATCTGCAGTTGCTCTCCTGCCACGAGACAAAGGCAGTTTATATCCAGAAACCAAAGTCTGAGCAAGAGGCAGCTTGTCTTGACTGTCCAAACAAGGTACATGACAACACAGCCCTTGGGAGGAACACGAGCATGAACAGACAGATCAGAGCAATTAATTTCTCTCCCAGACAGGGCTGTTGTCGCTAAAAGCCCCAGGAATGCCCCCTTGGATCAGACCAGCTACAGCTGTGATGGGAGAGGCTGATGGGGGAGAGCATCACCCATCTCCTCCCTGTCACCCACATGTCCCCAGGGCCCAGAAATGAGGAGCAGCACACCTGCCTGGTCCCCAGGGTGTCCCCCTGATGGCCCATTATCCATGACTGTGACCCCAGCTGAACCTGCTGCTGCTGTCAGATGCCAGTGATGGAATGGGAGGGGGTGGTGGGTGAGGAGACATGTCTTCTCCTGGGGCTAAACATGTTCTGCTTGTTGGATACATCACCCATCAGAGGAAGCAGTTCTTTCACATCCCTCCACTGCTGTTTTTTGCAGAAACCGTGTCTGGAGCAAACTCTTTCCACCAATTCCAACACCCAGCAACAAATTCCCAGATCCCTTCCCAGTTGACTACGAGGTAAAATAACATTTTAGTCACTTTTTTTTTTTTTTTATTTAAACTAGAAGGAATGCTTGTGTCTGTGTGCTGCTCTTTCCATCTAAGGCTGGGAGCAAAGAGAATCACAGAATCATTAAGGCTGGAAAAGACCTCCAAGAGCATCAAGTGCAGGCTTTGACCTTCCACCACCGTACCCACTAAACCATGGAGCCTCTTCCTGCCCACTTAAAGACTTTTGACCTCTTGGAATTTCTGATGTCCAGAGCAAATGTGGGCTCCATGGTCAAGTGTTAAAAGTGAACAGAAGGATTGATTAAGTGCTTTGCTAATATGCAGTGAATTTCAGGCACCTGTTCCATACCTCTGGCTCTGCCTTTTGTAGGGAATTACAGTTCCTCCAGAGCCAGGCAGAAAGCTCTGCCTTGGCAGGGACAGGAGGGTGACTCCTGGAGAGCTGGTTTATTTTGTTCAACCTAGCAAGCTGAAATGTTTTGCTCCCACTGTTAAGCTGGACTTAAGCCCTATTATGTTTGCTGTTACTTCTGATAAATACATTTGCCTTACAGATAAGATAAACCCCCTCATTGTCTGCTCGTGGGAAGTGCAGCTCAGTAACTTGATTTTCATTTGTTCCCCTTTGAAAAGGGGTTTGATTTTTTTGGATATGGTTCTTAGACCATGATCTGGTCAAGGAATCAGGCTTAAAAGATTATCTTACAATGTTTGTTTTTAATTAAAGCCACGGGTGTAAAATAACAGGACTCGGGGAGGCATCACAAATGAGAATATGAGAAATAGCAAATATTAACGCTGCAGCTGGAGAATGGGAGCTGTTTCACATCATCATCATCATCAGAACTGCTTTATATTTAGTTATCTCTTTACTTAAAGGGAGCTGGGTGTGGGCAGGTGATACCAGCCAGAAGCTGCTGCCACTGTGGCCACAGGGGCAGTGGCACCAGCAAGGAGAGGTGAGGACGTGGCCCTGATGTGTTGCAGAGGTCACCAGGGAGAGTGAAACCCTCTGGCCTGTTTGTTGTGGACATTCAGTTCCTGAATTGGCAGCGTAAACAACAGGGTGAGGTGATGAAAGCCCTGCACCGTGGTGGCCACGTGGCCCGTGGGAACCTGCTCGTCCCCCAGGAGCTGCTCTGCTGCCCTTGGGGGCTTCCCAGCAGCAAAACTACTGCTCAGCTTCTGCTTCCTTCTGCAGGTCACCCCAGCCCTGCACTTTTGTTTGTGCAACTCTGCTCAGTGCTGAGGGGTCAGGATGTGGCCCAACGAGAGGGCTTTGCTGCTGTGTATGCAGAAGAATTCACACCATACCTCACACCCTGCTCCTTCACTGACTGAGTGGCCAGGCATTGGCAAGGGCTGCCCAGGGAAGTGGTGGAGTCCCCATCCCTGGAAGTGTCCAAAACTCGTGTGGATGTGGCACTTCACGACAGATTTTAGTGGGAGTGGTGGTGTCAGTCAAAGGTTGGACCTGATTATCTTGGAGGTCTTTTCCAGCCTGAGATAGCTCTGTGCCCTTCAGCTCCTCCTGGGGCTCTGTGTCCATGGCTACAGAGGGGTCTGATGGCCATCATGGCCAACTGGGTTGTGTAAAACACGGGGAATCTGTGGGTGCAGGGGTTTGTAAGCCATGCCCAGTGACAATCTGTGGGTGCAGGGGTTTGTAAGACGTGCCCAGTGACAATCTGGGGGTGCAGGGGTTTGTAAGATGTGCCCAGTGACAATCTGTGGGTGCAGGGGTTTGTAAGCCATGCCCAGTGACAATCTGTGGGTGCAGGGGTTTGTAAGGCATGCCCAGTGACAATCTGGGGGTGCAGGGATTTGTAAGGCATACCCAGTGACAATCTGTGGGTGCAGGGGTTTGTAAGACGTGCCCATTGGCAATCTGGGGGTGCAGGGGCTGCTGGCCTCAGGGACAGAGTGACGAGCAGCCCTGCGAGAACTTCAGCAGGAGCGGGAAAATTCTCCTGTTGAACCCAGTGCTCCTTCTCAGCTCTTACCTCACAAAACACTGGGTGTGAATCCCTCTTGAATCCACCAAGAATGAAGCAGGATGTTGTCCATGAACTCTGCCCCAGCCCCAAGCTCCAGCTCCCAGCTCACAGCGGGGTTTGCTTTCCAGAGGGCACGGACCTGCACCAGCGACACGGAGACCGAGTTCAGCAGCCTGGCTGAGGATCTTTACTGCAGAGCCCTGGATGACTCTGTCTTCTGAGAGGCTGCTCCACGTCACCTCCATGTGCCCACATTCCCAACAGGAAGGAGGACTTGCTTCCACGAGGTGTCTTGATGATGAGCTGCTGAGCACAAAGTCCCGGTTGAGCCAGGATATAAGCACACAGCACAAGGGCTGTGTGGGGAAGAAAAAGTCTGGAAAAGAGCTAAAGGCTTTTTTTTTTTTTTTTTTTTTTCCTGGCTGGCAGTTTAATCTCTTGGATATTTGTTTTAACTAACTCTGACAACTCGAGATGCAAAATGCAAACTGGGACATGGCAGGGCCCTGGGAATGGCAGCAAGGTACCCAGCCGTGGTCCTGGGGGTGACCCAGGTGGGCCAAACGTTAGGAAAAGAATTAAAGAAGCTGTGAAGCCTCCCAGTGCTCTCCTCTCTGGTGCTGCATGGCTGCAGCAAGTCCAGCACAAGAGTGGGATCCACATTTGGCCTCACCGATACACTTTGTAATGAAACGAGTCTGAATTTCAGCCTGGAAAACCTCCATGGAAATTCAATTCCTTGCTACAGGCAGGGCTGTCAGTGCTCTGTGTGAGCCCTGAGGGGGCAGCCAGGCCACTCCTGTTTTTACCTGGTTTTCTTACCCTTCTGGAGGAGGGAACAGTGTTGGGATGGGGAGGCTCTGAAGGAGCACCTCCCTCCCCAGGGACATCAGGACTCAGGACACTCCCAGGGGGCTCATTTTCAGGCCAAGGCTCCTTTGCAGGCTCTTGCCTCTGACATCACTGGGAGCATCTGCAAAAGGACAAGAGGGATTGTTGGGGATCCCTGGCACGAGAGATTAAAGCTGGAAGGGCAGGGAGGAAAGAAAAAAGAGAGAAAAATGGCACAAACAGATAAACTCCCTCAACTGCACCTGAAAAACAGACCCAACTTGGGAATGCAGTTTTCAACTCATTGAAGAAATGGGCCAAGGACTTCTTGGTGCTCTGGAACGAGCTGGGCCCCTCCTTGCTGGGCAACTTCAGCAATTCTGAAAATCCAAGCCCAACACTGCAACCTGTTCATCTTTTCTGTCTGTTGTTGTTCCATCTCAGATGAGCTGGGTTTGAGCAGCCAGGGTTTCTGTTTGGGGTTCATTTCCCTACCTTGTGCAATCCATTGAAGGAGTTGCCAAATAAACCTCCTGCCTTAAACCTCGGGCTTTGACCTCCTTGGCTGCAGATCTTGAAGTTCTCCTGGTCCTGCAGAGTCCCTCCTGCTTCCAGGAAACCTCCTGTCCGTTGGGCTGGCCAGAGATGGGTTTAAGCACGTTAATAAAGACTTAATCCAGCAATTTTTTGGAATGTGCCTAAAGAAATGGAGTTCCCAGGTACTACAGACTAAAAATAATTATAATAAATGAGCCAGTTCTCAGCTGGGTAAAATAGCATGGCTCCATCAAAATTAATGGAGCTCATTAATATAACAATGTTTGTGACTCAAAAGTCTCTCCTGCACGTGCTTTTAATGGAGGTACCCAAATTTAACAATCTAAAATCAGAATTTCATTAGTGAAATCTTAAAAATGAGACTAAAGAGAATCCTTTGATTGGAATGTATTTTATATCATGCCTTCAAGTGGCCTAATAAAGAAGATTTCTACATATAATTTCACTCCCATTAATGATACTGCAGAGATTAATGCAATGTATTTAAATACATTTTGCATGTCAGGACCTTGGTACTTCCAGGGAGGGAGGATGAGTCCCCTCCTCAAGGACAGGCAGGGTGTGATGGCTTGGAGGGCCAGCAGCCAGTCTGGTACTCGTGCTGGTAAATAATCCTGGTGCAAAGCAGGGGTATCTTCATTTTCCCTGCCAGGCTGCTGGCCCAGAGAAGCTGTGGCTGCCCCATCCCTGGAAGTGTCCAAGGCCAGGTTGGAGCAACCTGGGCTAGTGGAAGGTGTCCCTGACATGGCAGGGGGTGGAATGAGGTATCTTCAAGCTCCCTTGTATCTTCACATCAGTGACAGTCTCAGCAGGCACTGAGGTGGAATTTCTCACTGGGTAGAACGAAACGTGGAGGAAAAAGGCTCCTGGAAGACAGGTATCTTTACAAATGACAGAATATTTATTACCAATACCTTTAAAAAAAGATTACATCTGCTAGATCACTGATAAATATCATTTACACCGGGGAGAAAACTACAGCAGCTTTTTTTTTTTTTTTAAACTTCATTTTTCTTGGTTTTGTGGTTTTTTTTGTTTTGTTTTTCTTATTTTATTTTTTTTTTTACATAGAAGTAACCATATCAAACTAAGAAAGGAACACAGCTTGAAATACTGACAATATTTCTCTGGTCAACACCCCTGACTTTTACACAAGTGGAATCCTGATTATGAGTTACTGAATAAATATATTTAGAAGGTCTAAAAGTTAACTGTAGTATTTTGTAAGCAAAAAAGACAAGTTACAGGCAAATTCAAGCTATATCAGGAAAAAAAAAAAATAAAATATACCACTGCAGCGCATTGAAACTTGAAAATTGTATAGAAAATTCCGTTGCCTTTGACCAGCGATTTCCCATCTGAGCGAACTTACAAAATTCCCCCGTAGTAGCAAACAGTCCTTCCCTTAAGAAGAGTTTTTTCCATGTGGATATTGTAGTTTTCCAGCGGGGCTCTGCTGCCTGCAGGTGCCTGTGAAGAGTTTCCAGAGAGAGGCAAACTTCCTAGAGAGACCTGTGGGAGGTCCCAGCTCCCCTTGGTCGAGAGCAACTTCCCCAAGCGCTGTCCAGCGTGGAATTCCGGTGGGTGGTGAGTTGTGTTCCAAAGGAGCAGCTTGGTGGCTCGGAGCTGCTGGGCTCTGATTTCCTTGGAATGGAATCCCCAAACCGAGGTGGGCCAGGCTGGGTTTGCCCTTCCCTTCGTGTCCCTGGAGGCAGAGATCCCATCCCTGCAGTACCTTCATCCCTTCCCAGCTGGATGGGGACCGTGATGAAGCCAAAGCTATTTCAAGGCAGCAGAAATGCCAGAACGGTCTCTGCCTGTCCACAACCACCCAACATTCCTGGGTTTTTGCAGTGTTAGGACGTTCTGAGTGTTTCAAGTTTGTCTTGCTCAGACCTGTGGATCAAACACACCACCCTGTGTGTCAGAAGAACGTGGTGGAACACGAGAGTCACTGGAACTGCCACGAAACTCAGCTGTGTTACCACCCAGCTCTGGGTTGGTCCTGCCTCGTGTGGCCTTGTAAAATTGTACAGTGAACTGGCAGCCAATTTACTGAGAACAACTTTGAGCTCTCCATCGTAAAGGAAAAAAATTCCAAACAATATTTCCGTGGTTATGTCGTCCGTAGCATTTTAGAGCAGAGGAAAAAAATTAATATCTACATCATATGTTAACTTTAAAAAATTCTATAAAACACTAAATATATAATAAAAAATATGCATATAAGGACATATGTAAACTGCTTTGGTAACATCATATTACAGATGTTTTCAGTGCATTGCAGAGTTTCCAAGGAAACTTCAGACAAAGCTATATTTGCTTTGAGGAAGTACTGTATAATGCCATTCCTAAAGAAGCATAAACATTTTTTTGTTTGTTTGTTTCCAGTAGTAAGATGTACTCAAACCACAATATTACTTAGTACTGGGTGTCTTCAAAACAACTAGCTAAATGTTGCTTATAGTATCAACAAGAAGTCCTGGGTGCCATTTTTGTCATAAACTGGAGCGGGCTGTGAGCGAGATCATTATCGTGCTGATGGCTGACAGGGTGCAGGCGCTGGAGGTCGACGAGCCTCGGGCATAGGCATCTGAGGAGAGAGGGGAGGGAGAGAGGGGAGGGAGAGAGGGAAGGGAGAGAGGGAGAGGGGAGAGAGGGAGAGAAGAAGCCCACAATGAGCAGAGAACTCACGTCACCTCTCCAACTGAATTTTTGGTTAAATTTCAATCCCTGCCACTGTTTTGTCGAGGTTACTTTCACAATTCCGTGCTTCCCCACCCTGGTTACTATTCTGTATTTTTCACAACTGTGCTCTTTTCGAGCTGTTACTTTTGGCCCCAGCCTGGCACAACTCCCGTCCTGGAGGAGCCGTGTCCCTGCTCGGTGACCCACAGCCTTGAGCCAAATCAGAGCTGGCAGGTGTTCCAGCTCTCCTTCCCTCTCCTGTGCCTGCTGATTAAATTCCTCTGCATGGTTTATACAGCCACAGTGGAGAGAATTCTGCTCTCACCCAGGGTTTTTTACATTGCTGTAATTTTAATGCCATATTCCTGCATTGCAGAGGCTCCTGATTTAATGCAGCTTATAAACTGGGCCATTATTAATGGAAGATGGGACATGGAGATTTTGCAAAAGCCATGTTGTGTAATAAAATACTCTTTCTGTTTGTTCTTCTACACAACCTCATTTCCCTAAATAAATATTTATGCCTCCAACACACAATGGGATATGGCTATACAGTAGCCTTATAAATTTAAAGGCCTCCAACACTGCATTTTGTATTTGGTTATAGCAAATTGCAGTGAAACAATATATTCAACCTATATATGAGTATGGAAGGGAGAGAGTGCAAACTGTCTAGAAACCTTAAATACAAATATAACTGCTTAGGATGGTGTTTCTTATGGTTTCATCTTGGGTTTGGGGATGAAATCAGAACCAGGGGCTGGAATGCTGGTCCTGGCTTTCTGGCTTTCAGCTCCCTGCCTGGGAAATGGATGGAGGTACAGCCTGCCCTGCTGGGATGCACAGCCCTGGTCCCTGCAGGACTCTGGCTGCCCACGGAATAGACCCCAATTCCTGCCATCCTTACTCGATATCTTTGGGATTCGGATCTGTTCGCTGCTGCTGCCGTCGCCGCCGTCGCTGACGGGCCGGATCTCGATGATGTAATCCTCGTCCAGGGGCAGGGACAGCTCCACCGAGGTTTTATTGGTTTCTATCACAGATGTGCTGCTCTGCCTGTTCCACCTGTACAGAACCTGCAGGGGAGGGAGAGAGAACAGGGGGCAGAAAGGGCAGGGCCTGAGCGTGTCCAGAGTTGCCGCTGTTCTTTTCCTGCCCCCGACGCTCGGACGTGGTCTGGTCACAGAGGGGACACGTGGGATTTGCTGGGGACCCAGTGCCAGGTCAGGGAGGTGACACTGGGAGGAGGGTGGTGCTGATGCACAGCATCAAACACAGCACTGAGAGCTGGTGCAGCCCCTCAGCAAAACCTGTACCTTCACCAAGCTAAAATAAACCCCTGTATAAGCAACGACTTATTTAGAGAAGTCAGAAACTTATTACATTTCTTCAGGAAACTGAGTTGGAACATTTCATGCAGTGCCACCAACAGCTTCCCAGAATAAATGACTTTTGTGAATGACCTTCTGAGATCCCGGAGTTCTATTAATTTACATCATAAATTGTGACACAAAATGTAAGATTTCTAGGAAAAACCAAGAAAACCAGGCAATGTTTTGCTGTGATTCAGGAAGAAACCCATCTGGCTCTGCTGTCCTAACAGTGAGTTGAAAGAGGATGTTGCAGAAACCCACTAGATGCAGTTTGCTTTTTCGGGGTGTCAAGTCTCTCTCTCCCTCTTTCAAATGACTTCTTAATTTGCATTTCAAACATAAAATATGTAGTGAAAAGTTGGTCCAGATTGCCAAGGTTCATCTGAGGTTTGGACTAAAAACCCTGAGGAATTACTTCTTTTTGATAAGCCCATGCAGTGCAACAAAGATACTTTTAAAAGTTAGTGCAGAAATTCAGGAGAGCTGGCACAGGCTGCTCAAGCTGATGCTGCTGGCATTCCAAACTGGGAACAAAACACTAAGTATGGCCAGGCCCTTCATTGTCTCAGGCTCTGCGGGGGAAAGGTTTGCCCAACTCAACCCTCAGGGCAATGTCTGGAAATCGAACACCAGCATCATCTCTGGGCCAAATGAAGCCCTTGTGTAAGGTGATGGAGCTGAATTCCTCCCAAGACTTCTCTCTGGTTAAATTATATCCTATTAAAACCGCTACTAATGAGGATTCTCTTCCTTCTCCTTTTGGCTTTGCTTTCTGAAGGAAATGGGAGCTATTAAAACAGCATGTTATTTATCTGCAATTAAGGAGAGAACTACAGCCTTTGGAAGGCTTTCACCAGTGGCAGGAGGGTTGTCCTGCGAGTGGGAGCTCCAGAGGGAGGAGCAGGTGGAGGTCCATGGGCTGAGACCCCCTCCCAGGGGTGAGGGGAGCAGTGGGAAGAATGTGCCCCTGTTACATAGGCATGGCCTCTGTTGTTGGAGGAATGCCCCAGTTTTTAGCCTGGAAAACCACAAAAAACATCCTGTCTGATCTTACTATAAACCCCAGCTTGACACTGGGCTCGTGGCAACACTCACTTTGTAGCCCCTCACTTCTGACTCGTTGTCCAGTGCTTTCACCTGGTCCCAGTTCAGGATGATCTTGGAGTCGGACGAATTCCACATGATGTTCCCGGGGGGCTGACTCGGTGCTACACCAAAACATACAGGGCATGGCATGACTAAGGAGCACCATTTCCCAGCTGGATCCCTCCCAGTACCAATGAGGCTTCTACCACCAGAGCTGAGCCCGCCTGGAGTCCTTCCCTCTGGAAAGCCAACGAGCTGCTTCACTGATCTGTGTCCTCAAGGTCACGGGAGGTGTGACACGACACAGTGCTCTCAATGAAAAAAGGATTCAGTCAGTTGCTCAACATGCCTGAGCCAGGAAGAAAAAAAGCCCTCTTGAACGATGAGATAAATATTTAATTTGCCTGCACAGCTGTGATTTGGGTTTTGCATGCTCTGCTTACTTAACATGGGGGAGACCCTTCCAAAACAAAATCCAGGGAAAAGGCCAAGCCTGGTAAGGCTTGTGCACAAAAACCTGGCAGAGAGAAGTCTGACAGCTCTGTTGGGCTTAAGGGGGTTTGAAAACGCGAGGGTAGCCCTGGCAGAACCTCCCATGGCAGAGCCCCCCGTCCCCCCAAGACTCACGTGGCTTTCTGGTGGTGACGTTGACGGGGGCGCTGGAGGGGCCGGTGCCAGCTGTGTTGTAGGCTCTGACTGCCAGGTGGTACAGGGCATTGCCCCTCAGGTTGCTGACCTTTGTGGAGGTCTGGTTGCCAACCGTCCGGATCCTTTTGGCGTTTTCTTCCTTCTCGTCGTGTCGCCAGCACCTGACCTGGGAACAGAGCAGGGCCGTGCCCACCTCCATCTCCAGCACCCTCCATTCCCAGCACTGACCGTGCCCCCCACAGGACAGAGCCTGCATCCTGCCCCATCCCTTCCTCTTCCCTGTGGGAACTGGCCTGGGTGCAGCTCTCCCTCCCCAGGACCTCGGGCACTGCCTGCCCATGGAGCACCTCCACGCAGGTCCCCCTGCAAGCTCTGCTCTCCATCTCCAGCCACATCACACACACACAGGTGTGTCCTTTTTAACCACGTGAGAGAAATCTCTGCTCACTGAAGGGGCAAAGCAAAGCACATACACCCCAGGAACACACCAGCCCCAGGGCAGGAGGAGCAGCACCGTGGGCACTGCCCGGGATGTGTCAACACATCTCCTCGAGGCTTATTACTGAAGGGATCCTCCCTACCTCATATCCCTGGATTCTTCCTTTGTGCTGGCTCTCCCAAGGGGGAGCCCACGAAACTTCAACGTCTGAGGCGGAAAGACTTCTGGCCGAAACAGCGGTCGGGGCTCTCGTTGGCTCTGTGTTGTTGAAAATAACAGGAAGACTTTTCAATGTTATGTTCAATTAGCCCCAAATGTCAAGGGATTTATTTTCTCCATTGCACAAGAGAAGAAGCAAACAAATGTGCACATTTCAAAGTGAGGGCCTGTCAGGCTGTGCTGGGCAGCGCTGACTCTCTACCTAAGAAATAATATGTCAGTGCTAAACTCAGCCCAGGATACCATGTACTGTAATTAGGACAAGTGGGAACATTCTCTAATCAGTGGCCATTAATTCATGCTAAATCTCGGTGGAATTCTTTCCAGATTACATATTACTTTTCCATTAATATCAAAAGATTTCATTACGATTAATGTTATTTTAATGGCTATGAAAAGAATTAATCACGGCTCGCCATTTGTTAGGAATCGGAGCAGGGCTCAGGTATCAAAGGATGTGCCAAGGTGGAAACCAAACCCTTGCAGAGCCTGGCAGGCCCCGTGCCCAGGGGAGGGGAGGAGGGCAGGGTGGGCTCCTGGCTCTACCTTCCTCTGCCGAGTAGACGACGGTGACGGGGCTGAAGGAGCCTTCGCCCTTGTTGTTGTACACCCCGACCTTGACCTCGTAGGGCGAGAAGGGCGGCAGGGTCTCGTTCCTGAACACGTATCTGGCGGCGTCCGGGGAGGCCACGACCGTCTGCATCCAGCTGACGGTGCCGAAGGGCCGGAACGCCACCACGTAGCCGAAGCCACCGCCGTTCTGCAGCTCCTCGGGCACCGTCTGCGGGCAGGACACACACAGAGATGGCTGTGGGGAAACCTTCAGCAGTGCCACACATTTATCTCCCCCTCTGCACCCTGGGTGTTGCCCCTCAGTGCTGCTAAAGCTGCTGTTCTAAAGGGAGCACTGGAGGTGGGAGGTGGATGGAGTCGTGAATTATCCCATCCTGCCTGTACTAGAGCCTTTCTGCTCCTTCTCAGAGGAATGCAGCACCTCCAGGAGACACTTCTCCTAAGACCTGCTCCACCTTCCTCTACTGACTAGATGGAGCCTCCATCAATGATCTAATTTTAGGCACTGCCATGACTAAAAGTCTGAGGTTTGTTGGGGTGAACCAAGGACGTGGTTCCTGCTTTCCCATGTGCAGCTGCTCTCATGCCTTTGGAATTGCATGTGAAGCCCTGAAGAACATCCTGGACACGCTGACACTCCCTACTCTCAGGGTGTCAGCCCCCTAAAAAGCTGCATTAAACCAAAAGTATCAAAATAATCCCTAATTATGGGCCCCTGTCCTACAGAGGTGTTGCTGAAGCAGGTGCAGGGGTTACTACTGCTGATTGCTGCTTGCTCTGGATTGTAAGGCCACAGCAGCCCATAAAGGAAAGGCCTCTGGACATCTGAGCCAGTAAAACGACCGTTCTATCAAAACACAAATTATATTTTGTGCAAATTACGACTCAAACCAATGTCTGATGTTCTTGCCATGTGTGTTTTTGAAACATATTGCAGTATCTTTAGGAGACACGGCGTAGCTAATTAGTCCAACAGAGGAGGAAATTTAGCACATTGAGCCGTGTGGCGAGGACAAAAACCCATTTATAGGATTTTAATAACCTTAAAAATATCTCTGGCGATTCATTCTGCCAGCTTGGTCAGAAATAGTGCTAAATGGAAGTGTTAGCATGGCTGGTGAAGTTCATTATTAGGAAAAATATGCCAGCTGCATCGCATCACAACAGGAAAATATGAGCAGACAAATGACTAAAGTTCTAACCCCGTGTGCCTCACGGAATATTAAACATTTTTCATCTCCGTAGCTCCTCGTGCTGGCTGCCATCAGCAGCACTGAGAGCCAGCGTGCCTTGTGCTGCCTCTTAACTATTTGCTGCCTGACATCCCATGCAGGATGAGGGATGAACTGAACCAGCCAGACTGGTTTTTTTTCTTCCTGCAAACCATTTGAAGTCTCCAGAAGCTTTGCTGGGCTCTGGGTGAGACTCACCTCCCAGGTAATGACCAGCTCGGACTTGCTCCCTCCACCTCCACTGACATTAGCTGGGGTCACTTCAGGAACTGCAAACAAAGAGATGCAGAGGATAAATGTGGCAACTTTGCCACCAGAAAAGCACTCTGAGGTGGGAGAGACCTGTGCAGTGCCAGGACTCTGCTGCTCTTCCCCTGCTGGAACCAGGAATGCCATTAAAGTGACTAATTTGCCACGGCAAACAGCACATTAAAAGTATGTCAATACCAGCATATTAAAAGTATGTCAATTAACTTGTGTATTCAGTCTCTAATTGTTTAGTTTAAACATTTATCTTCCATAAAGAGGGGCTTTTATTTATTTTCCTATTTCATATTCGGTCCCATTAGGGGCTAAACCAGAAGAGAGCAGCCACCTGCCAAAGGGTTTCCCGTGACTGAGGTGCCTCTTGGCGCTGGGGAGCACTTATCCCACCAGATTGAAGTCTGTTGCACCCCACCACTTACGAGCTTCTTCAGTCCTTCTCTTCTCCGAGGGCCTGCTGGGCTCCCCGATGCCGATCAGGTTGGCAGCCACCACTCGGAACTCGTACTCCACCCACGGGTTCAGCCCCACCACCGTGGCCGTGAACGTCCTGCCGTCGATGACCTCTGGAACTGCAGACAGCCGTGGGTCAGGAAAGCAAGGAAAGCCACTAAAATACCCAAAATTCCGAGGAAAAGGCACAGAGAAATCTGATTTCCTTAAAAATCTGATTTCCTTAACGTGAATGTGGCGCGAATAAGGACTGATAAACCCTTTGTCATCTCTCTAACTGCAAAGAGGTCCAAGAGGTAGCATTAAACTGCTGTGGTTTTAGCCCAGAAATTCCTGCCATTAAAGAGTTTCTCCTCAATTGCCCCTGTTTGAAAACAAAGTGTCGAGACAACAGGTTTAAAGTGTTTTTATTTTTCTCTTTTTAAAACACACCGTTCCCTCTATTTAATGGTGACTGGAACAAAATTAACCTCTGACGGAATGAGCAATTACATCATGGGATTTTTCCCTCTATCAGGGAAATAATTCCCCTTTAAGATAGGCCAGATGACACGGGCTGTCCCTGAGGGATGTCTTTATAGACCACAATTACTGTTGTATGTCTCCAGCGCGGCAACAAAGGATGGGAATTCATTCTGTTTTCCCTTAAACATTCATGAGAAAAATGGATGAGGAATAGCCCTGACTGGACCCTAAATCTTTGGGTTGCCAAAACCTGAAACTAGTTAATAAGAGCGGTGCTCTGCAGCCAAGGAAATTGCTTCTCCCATCAGGGAGCAGAGCCGGTCCGCGTGCCGATGCCGATGGATGTGTTTTCCAGCAGCGGAGCTCTGAGGGGCCCGGCTGATGGATTTACCTGTGCTCACTGCCTGCCAGCCCACCGAGAAGGGGGTCCTTGCTTGCACCACGTACATGGTGATGGGGCTGTGGTTGTCAGCCCCCGGCCTCCAGGACAGCTGGGCCGTGGTGTCCGTCACCTCGTCGATCGTCACGGCCTCGGGGGGGCCCGGGGGACCTGTGGGGGCATTGCAGGACAGGGTGGGTGAGGTGGTTGAAGCGGTGGCAAGGGGTCATCTTTTCTCACTCAGGACAGAGAAGACCCTGCAGAGGAGTCAGTGCAGCCCCAGCTCCCATTGCCTGGGTGAGACTGGGGGGCACTGGGGAGATGCACCAGCACCATGGCCAGGGAGAGACCAGCATGTTCTGCTTCACTGCTGGGTTCCTCTTAACCAGTAAAGGCAGCAGGACAGCAGTCAGGGAGAGACCTCTCTCCTCTATCACATGGCCATTGCTCCTGGGAGTGGTACCTGAAGTGCAGCCTCTTCCCATCCCAGATAATCCCAGAATGGGTTGGGTTGGAAGGGACCTTAAAGATCATTTCATTACACCCCTTGCCATGGGCAGGGACACCTCCCACTAGTCCAGGCTGCTCCAAACCCCATCCCACCTGGCCTTGGACACTTCCAGGGATGGGGCAGCCACAGTTTCTCAGGGCAGCCTGTTTCTGTATTTTACCACCTTCACTATTTTTAACAAGTGACAAGATCAGTGTTTTATCATCACCAAGGGTCATTTTCTTGTGAGAATTTAATGTTCTGCTGTTTGTTTACAGAGGCAGCACTAAGGAAATTACCCAATCGAGGTGCCCAGAGCAGCCTCTGTTGAAATGTTTGAGCTAAACAACAAAAAAACCTCATCTGAAATCGTGCTACAGCAAAAGACCTGAGAATCAGTGAAAGAGGGAATTTCTTACTAATTTTTCAAGCTCTCCTCCTTTCACTGAGTTTGCTGAGAACTTACATGGAGGACATGTGAGAGGACAAGAGCAAGCGGCCTCAAATTGTGCCAGGAGATGTACAGACTGGATATTCAGGAAAATTTCCTCATGGAAAGGGTGGTCAAGCACTGGAACAGGCTGCCCAGGGCAGTGGTGGAGTCCCCATCCCTGGAGGGATTTAAAAGTCATGTGGATGTGGCACTTGGGGACGTGGTTTAGTGGTGGCCTTGGCAGTGCTGGGGGAGTGGCTGGACTCGTGTTCTTAGGGGATTTTTCCAACCTAAAAGACTCTATGAATTTCCTGGGGTCTGTGACAATCAAGGGACAGAGCAGCACCAAAGTTTGCTTTCCCCAGAGTCAACAAGCAAGAAAATATATATAATATTTATTGTCAGGATGCAGACTCAGGGTAACTCATTGCAGCTCTGTTAAAGTCACACTTACACATCCCCTGTGCATGGCAATGAATCGATCTTGCAATAGCAATGAAGTTACTAAATCACGTTTATCCCAGAAAAGGAATAATATTACTTGGCAGAAGTGCAGTGAATAACCTGGATGCTGCTTCTGCTGCACAGTTCATCAAACAAATGAGCCCAGTTGGTGCAGGTTTGGCATTTAGGACACCAACACAGTGTGTTTACGTGAGCTGTGGCTGGTGGATGAGGATGTGCATCTGAAACACTTTACATATGCACTGTTTGAAAACGTGGTTTGAACCACAGTGCGTGCTCAGAGGTTTTTTCTCAGATTAATTACAAGATGCTGGGAGGAGAAAAAAAAAAAAAAAGAAATTTTACAACAACAACAACAACAGGAACAAAATTCAAATACCTCTTACAATCAGGTCTGCAGCAGCCGAGAGCTTGTCCACACTTGTTTGCACCATGCAGACGTATTTCCCCGCGTGCTTCAGCTGGATGCTTCTGATCATCAAATCACCAGCTGAATCCTGCTGATAAAGTAGGGAAAAGTGGTTACAATTACTTTTTAATGAGCGCTAAACATCATTATCACATGAAGGACACTGTGACTAATGGATTTACTTTGCTCTGGCTGATGAAAACATTAGTAATGCAAGCCTGGCCTATTAAAGTGATGGGAGTCTGCCTTGAAGGGGAGAGTGGGAATGTTTCTGAAATCCTGGCTCCTCCCAGGGGCAGGGGAGCAGGGCTGGGTCTGTTAAACACCTTCCCTTGGTAACTACTTGTAGACTAGTGGTGGTTTCCAACTGCCTGGGCAGGGGCAGAGGAGGGGCAGGACTGAGCTCTGCTCTGGGGGAAGCAGGGACAGCCCCCAGGGAAGGGCTGGAGCTGTGTCAGGGCAGGCTCAGGGTGGATCTCAGCGAAAGGTTCTTCCCCCAGAGGGTGGTTGGCACTGAACAGGCTCCCCAGGGCAGTGGGCACAGCCCCAAGGCTGCCAGAGCTGCAGGAGGGTTTGGATGATCCTCTGGGGCACAGGGGGTGACTGCTGGGGATGGGTCCTGTGCAGGGCTGAGGGTTGGACTGGATGATCCCTGTGAGTCCCTCCCAACTCAGCATATCCTGGGACTCTGTGATCATTAAAACAACGCGACAAACCTGACGTAGGGCAGGTTCACATCTCTCAGGATATCCCATTTACACCCTCTCTGGTGTTCACATGCCCAAGTTGTGTCTCCCTTCCTTCCACAAGTGAAACCCAGCCCGAATTCCGAGGCATCTGCAATAATTTCCTGGCTTTGTCTTGCAGGCAGCATTCTGATTGCCCGGTGTTTTTGTGCTAAAGATCATGAGAGCAGAGCTCTCCCAGGAAATCTTGCATCACCTAACAGCAGTAATTTGTTTTCCGAATGCCAAGTGCATGTCTGATTAACTATTGAATAGAACTAATTAAGTTTCTCTGTGTATCAGAAGCTGAAAACACTCTCTAAATTTTTCTCCAAGACACAAAGCATTGGATCCATTGGAAATCTCAGGGTAACCTCGTGATTGTGGCTTTTTGACTGAGAAATATTAATTGAGTTTGTAATTTCAGCTTTGCAGGCCAAGCAGGTGCAGTCACCCCAAGAAGCCATCGCTGCTCATGTGCACCCTGGGCATCAATCTGTAAGGGTATCTTCTAAGGCTTGGAAATTTTATTTTCTTTTCCTTTCAGCATTAAATTTCACCCTTGAAAAATGTAACTATGGACTGTCACTCTGCCTGAGACTCAGCAGAGTCCACAGCTCTGTTGAGCCCCCTTTCAGAGACACAGGAAAAATCCTTGATAAAAATTTTGCCTTTTTTTTTTCCTCATTTTTCTATCTCCTTTCACCCAATAAAAGTGAAAACAAAAATCATCAGGAAGGATAAACTAGAATTTAAATAACCCAAGCCCTGACTGAACAGGGTAAATGAGATGAACTTCTGTACTGTAAAGGAAAATGTTAGGGTTACAAACAAAGTACATTTTTTCCCCATCTTTCAGACATGGTCTGTGAAATGACTGCTTTGCTTACTAAAAATTATATGGGAATTATTTTGAGTCATAAAACTGGCATGAGAAGCTGGGGCAGGTCTGACAGATGTGCCACTTCCTTGTGTGAAGCCCCTCTCTAATCGAGGGCATCCTGAGGGGTCTCGTTGAGCACTGGCCTTCTGCAATTCCCCAAATTTATGCCTCAGCATCTTCAGGAAATCTAGAACTACTAGAAAAGTAGTTTTAATTTAATTTAACAACCTGCCCTTCAAAAGTGAGGTAAGAGCAGAGAAAGCCAAGCAGAGATGGACCAGCAGGGCAAAGGCTCTGATCCTAAACCTTCCTGCAGAGGCACAAAATGCCAAATATCCCAAGAAAATTCTCTCCTCTCCTAATGAAGATTCAGCAATTCCTACCTTTTCTTCCCCCATCTGCCACTTGACCATGGTCCTGAGCAGCAGCCATGGCCAGGGCTGTGTTTAATGGACTGTCCAACCATCTTGTCCTTCTCCTGACTATCTGATTTCCATGAACCTGAATTTTTCAACCTTCAAATCCACAGCTCTCTGGGCATTGCAGGAGTTTAAACTGCCAGTGGGCACTGACTGGGTTTCCCATAAACAAAAAAAATCAACCAAACAACCCAGAGATACCAACGTGGCATTGCAATACTCTGCAGGTTATTTTGTGCAGAGGAAAAAATAGTTATTCTAAGCAAGTGGTCACAGGAGGAGGACACAGAGACAGATAAACATGGCAACAAACCTTGCCTGAGCATTTCTGAGGATATTGTCTGATTTCCTGCTATTTTCTCTATAAATACAAAGTTCTACAATTGTTATAGCTCAAGTTTATTTTACTCTTTCAGTCAGAGAAAATCTATTATGGATTTCTTCCTCAAAGGAGGAGCCAGTTTTTTGCAGTGAGAAAACATATTTTAGGTCTCCTGACATCCATCCCATTGCTCATTTGAGCAGATTTGTCATGTCATTAAGGAAATCACAGCAACTCTGCACCAGCTCTAATGAACCAACACACTGGCAATGTTCACCTCAGTCCGTGCACAGAAACAACACAGAATCATGGAATCATTTAGGGTGGAAAAGCCCTTTAGGATCATTGAGTCCAATCACTAATCCAGCACTGCCAAGGCCAACACTAAACCATGTCCCCAAGTGCCACATGGCTTTTAAATCCCTGCAGGACAAACTCAGCCAAGTCCATTCCTTCTCTTAGCCCTTTTCTGTTGTTACCTGCTTTTAGTGCAGTGAGGAGATTGCTTTAGAGTTAATACTTACCCCTCCAACTCGTTCAAAGTGATCCCCATCCTTTTCAAAGTCTATCAGGTGCCCATTAAATGACCAGGTGAACATGATATCCAGGGAGTGGTCGTGAGAGACCTGGCAAGGCAGGACAATGCTCTCTCCAACCGTGACATCCATGCTGAAAGGTGACACCATGACCCGGGTTGGATCTGCAAACGACAAAGGAAGGGGAGAAAAGAGCGTTGATCTGGTTCTCCTGAGGAACATGCAGAGCTGAGAGAGATCCTGAACAGTCTCCCACAGCTGCAGTGATCACTTAGGAAGGTCCTTAATTCAACAAGTGAACTATCCCATCTTTGCTTTCATCCTCCAGTACCTTTCTCCAGCTGTTGGATTGAAACACTGTTAACAAACCCTCCAGAATCCTCTTCCAGCCACCATTCCTGATGAAGAAGGAGAAAAGAAAGGGCTGGAAAAGTGTGCAGCAGATCTGAAAGGCTTGGTTAAAATTTTTGAGAGAGCTCAGAGGTCAGAGATTCTCCTCTCTCTGAATCTTCTTACTTCAAAGGGCTGTTTCACAGTCCCACACTGTTCACTACAGTTATCAAAAAGCTATTCTGTTGTTCCTATATTAAATGTTGCCTCAAGAAAACTCTCTCAGTGTAAAATTTCCAAAAACTAGAACGAAGAAGGGGATATTAAGAACATGAGTGGTCTCTGCTCACACCTGGAAAGGGAAAGAACTGGCTGAGGTTACTGTTGTGCCTCATTTTTACTGCAGACTTGGTGATTGTGCAGAACACTGGCCACGGTCTCTGGGGTTTGACATTTCAAAGCCAGGCTGTTTCCTCTGTGCCAGGAGAGTCCCCACGAAGAATAAACATAAATAATGAGAGATACCAACCCAAACTGTGACACCATGGACAGCAAAACCCTGCCCCAACGAGCCGAGTGCTGGAGTGGTGTCAGAGAGGGGCTTTGGGGTGGGAGGTGGCTCTGGGTGCAGTGACTCCTTTGTCTGATGTGCAGCTTCATCAGCAGGTCAGACTCACATTTTAAATCCTCTGTGCTCTTACACAAGATGTCACTGCCCTGCTGGACTAGAACTGAGGAAGTTATTTTAGGGAGGTGAAGCAGAAAAAAGGGCATTGCCCTAAACATGACACTTCCAAAGGGAAGCCCCCAAACCTCCAGGGGTCTGTGACGTAGCAAGTTCTGCCTGTTAAATACAGGCAGCAGCTCCACCTCAGCTTCAGGACTAATCCCTTATTCACACACATCCCTTACCACTGCTTTAATGGTCTATTTTTCACTTGAGTCCTGCAGCAGGAGCAAGATGGTGGCACAGAAAGATGAGCCATGACACATTATGCAGACTCCAGCTTCTCGTCTGTGCCCGTGAATTCCCTCTGCCTCCAAAGTTAACATTTCTCTTTCATTTCTGTTGACAAAAATGCAGTCATTTTTTCTACAGGGCCTCAGAGGAAATGAAAAGGAGACAAAATATTGCTTAACAATGAGACCAAAAGTCTGAAAATCATATAGAGATAGATATTTTTGCTTATTCCAAAAATCTATTCTGCACAACTGTCATGGTAAAATAATACCAGCATTATTCAATCTCTGGGAGATGACACCAAAATCTTAACTGCTTCTTCCAGAGACTGTTGCCCAACTGCTTAAGCCTCTGCTACAATAATAAAGAGACAGCAGCAAAGATATGGACTGGACAGAACTACTCCCTGAAATCCAGGGGATGCAAAGCTGTTCCCAGACTTTCAAAGACCTTATCAAAAGTGTACAGGAGGTGGTGAAAAAGATTTCATCTCTGTCTGTATGGATTTCAGATCAAGTCCTTGGGGACTTGGCTGTATTATCCTGGACAAATTTAATTCATCTGTATTTTAGGTTTACTTCTAACCGGAGTAACTCTTAACACAACCACAAGAGGTATTATGAGGCTTAACTAATTAATACAATTACATGACTAATACATTTAAAATTTCTTAGGCATAAGCAGTATAAGTGCACATTACTAAAACCATGTTTAATTATAGCTTAGATTTATGGCATTATTTTTATATAACTGTACCAGGATTTTCCAGTCACTTGGTGTTGCTACAACTGAAATTCAAGAAGACCCAGAGCATCCCAAGCTCAGGATGCTACAGGAATACCCACACCAGCAGTGGGGCTCAGGCATGGAATCACTCCCTGAAATTCCTCCCAGCATCAGAAGTTCATCTATTTTATAAATATGTAAAGAATGAAGGGTATAAATACACAGAATAGAACACTTAATTGTATAGGATTGTAGAATACAGAGTATATTCTCAAATAGAACTCTGGCATATATTCTGTATTCTGGAATTCTATACAATTAGAGAATATATTTATGTTCTAGAATATAGTTAGAATATTTATTGAGAATTACAGAATATAGAGTTATAATAGAATTCTAGAATTCATATTCTATATAAAGAATATAAAGAAATGGGTGTTTGCTAAAGGCCAGAGCAGCTCAGCACAGCTCCTGCAGATGTAGGAGCTCTGAGTGTCTGGCTCCTCCAAAAATCAGCCCACAGGTTTCATGGAATCATAGAGTTGTTTACATTGGAAAAGCCCTCCAAGATCACCAAGTCCAACCATTCCCCCAGCACTGCCAAGGCCACCACTAACCCACATCCCCAAATGACACATCTACACATCCTTTAAACCCCTCCAGGCACGGGGACTCCACCACTGCCCTGGGCAGCTGTGCCAGGGCTGGACAACCCTTCCATACAGAATTTTTCCTAATATCCAACCTAAACCTTGCCTGGAGCCCCTTCCTGCACATCCCTGGGAGCTCAGGAGCCAGGCAGGGCTCAGGGATGTGAGTGACTGTCTGTAGGTGTCACTGAAGGCTCAGGGAAGCAGCAGAGCTCCCTCTCAGCCTTCCTTTCACGCCAGCACTTTCAGCAGCACGCTTTTTTCGTGTGACAGAAACGGCACTCTGCAGTTTCCCGTGGTTTTCCCTGCTCCCCAGCCCCTCTGGCAGCACCAGGGGACACAGCATCATCCTGTGTTGTGTCATTGTGGGCTCTGAGCAGCCTCAACGCTCTCGGGGCTGGTCCTCAGCTGGAGCAAACCCTCATGGCCACACCAGGACAGCTCTGGATGCCCAGCCACCCCCCCAGCCTCCCTGGGGGGGTGCACTGAGATCATCTGAGCTCGTCTTACCTATCCCTGTCCTGCCTTCCATCCCGATTTTCCTGCGTTTCCTCCCTTGGCTTCATTGCTGCAGCGCCTTGCAGAGAACCCGGCGTGTTCCTGACTGATTAAAAGCGTTTGCTTCATACTATGAGAGATTCTAACAAAGTTTTCTTCCTTGCCTAGAAGAAAGGGAGCTGAGCAGCACTTCCCATCCGTGGGAAGGCTGTAATTTCTTCCCTCCTGTCCCTGCAAACAGCAGCCTGTCGGTGCCATCAGCGCCGCCTACGTCTCCCGGCTCCTCTCAGGATGCATTTCCGAGCTGCAAACCCAGAGCTGCAGGCACTGCAGGCACGGGCTGAGGGGCACCGTTATCCAATCTGCAAAGGAACCACCCCACATGGATGTGCTGTTGACTGGGAGTCCCTCAGGAGGGATCTCTTGTTTGGGGTAAATGGCTCTGCCTCGCTGTGCCCGCACAGGCTGTGCCGCATCACACCGACCTGCACGAGGTGGCACAGAGGGACACGGTCTGCAGGGCCACGGCAGGAGGGACAGAAAGCACAGGCTGACACTCACAGATAATGCTTTTTTCCCCCCCTTAAAAATATAGGCCAGTTCAGAGCGTGCAAAGAGCTTTCGAATGATCACAGAATGCCAGGATATGCTGAGTTGGGAGGGACTCACAGGGATCATCCAGTCCAACCCTCAGCCCTGCACAGGACCCTCCCCAAGGGTCACCCCCTGTGCCCCAGAGGATCATCCAAACCCTCCTGCAGCTCTGGCAGCCTTGGGGCTGTGCCCACTGCCCTGGGGAGCCTGTTCAGTGCCAACCACCCTCTGGGGGAAGAACCTTTCCCTGAGATCCACCCTGAGCCTGCCCTGACACAGCTCCAGCTCCTGTCACTGGGCACCACAGATGCAAGAGGAGCAGGGGAAGCAAGAAGCCATGTCACAGATACTGTGCCCATCAGCAAGATTTCCACTGACCAGAGGGTTTTTTTCAGACCTGCCTGTGTTCAGTGGCCGCTTGGATCCCATTTCCAAACGTGCCCCTCTCCAAGCTGGCTCTGCTCCACAGGGCATGGATCCAGCGATGGCAATAACCACAGTGCCTTTCAGGGAAGGATATCAAAGTCCTCAGTAAACAATGAGATGTGCTTTGCCAGCCCTGGCTGCTGAAGGAATACAGAGCATTTTTCTGTAATAAAAGGCTGAGCTGTAACATGCTCAGGAGATACAGCTCCTCTTGTCGGCCTCAAATCAGTGGAATTGAACATTCACAGACAGATTAAAAAAAAAAAAAAAAAGAGATAATGTAAGCATTTCCAAAGCTGCTTGCTGAACTCTGTGCAGCTAATACCTAAATGCTTATTTAGACATCCATCCCAGCACAGAGCAGGTCAGAGGAGAAGGAAGAGAAGGGAATACTCAGGTTTTGATATATTTATCCAGCATAAAAAACTTGAAGAAATCAGAACTTTCCCCCCCCAAATTAATGTTTCCTTCAGTCTGTTCTACTTCTAAGGGAAATTTTCTGAGATCTTGCAAAGATTCCTTCCTCTCTTCTTCCAACATTGCCTTCTCTTCAGTCAGGTTTGTGCTTCCCTGCTGCTAAATGTGGTTAATGGTAGCTAATGGGAATTTTGTAAAAAGACTCTATATATAGAGCCAGGGATTCATTAAGGTTGGAAAAGACCTCCAAGATCATCAAGCCCAACCTCTGACCTATATTGGGGTCCCTCTCCCTTTTACTCTTCTGCCTAAGCAGGAAAAATCTGTTGTAAATACTCCTGGCTTTGGTTATGGGCAGAAAAAAACAGTCTGGAGCTTGAAATGGAAAAAAAACCCCTCCAGCAGTGTTTGCTTTTGCTGATGGATATTTCCTTCAAGTACCTAAGAAATATTCATATCCCACCTATTATCCTTGGAGTTAAACAGCTGAGGATGTGTCCTGGCCAGAGTGGCTGCTCCAGGATGGGGAGGGAGGTCTCTTATTCCAGGCTGGAGCAGGGCA